CAACTAGTAAGTCTGGCCATGTGCATATCCCGACAACGTTCCCACCAGAAACCGAGAGGAGAAACTTCCCAACCTGCAAAACCGACAGCCTTAGTGATGTTCTCCGTTGCTCAAACGGGATTTGGGTCTAAATAAGGGAACGCCCATTTGCCGGGTTGGGGGGGGGCGGGAGGAAGGGGTTCCAGCTGTCGGAGGGGGAACAGTCGAAATCTGTTCCGTGGGTTCCCATGACAACCTTCACGAGGGAATACCCTTAGTTCAAAAGCAGACAGCAAATCAGCAAGTTTGTGAGTGTTTGGCGAGTGCTCAGCTAGAAAGCCCACAGTAAATCATGAAGTTCCTGGGTTTTTTGGGCGAGTTCTCAGCTAGAGTCTAGCAAATCGTCAAGTTCCTGGGCGAGTTCTCAGTTTATCAGATGCGCAAGGCGGCAACTCCCGGAAGTCACCGAAGAACATCAGTCACAAACTCCTGGTACCCGGGAGCCATGGTAAAGGAGACGTCCACAGACCAAAAGGTGACATGGAGGTCAGATTCAGGTTCTGGTAATGTTGACCCCATATTCATCAACTCCAGTTTGTTATTCGGGGGGTGTCTCTGGGTTTAGTGGGGAATCAGCACTTTTGGAGTGGAACACCCTATTCATCAACTGGGGTTGATTAGTATGGGGTCAACAGTCCTCAAGGGTTGCTTTGGACAGGACATTGTGCTTGTCCTAGTCAAAGTGGCTGCGTCAAACCTAGTTGGACCCCTCATGCGGCTTCTCGCTGGACAACATGGACCATGTCCCGGCTCAAACCGGCAGCTTCCTCGGTATCTTTCGATTCCGCAAATTCCGAACACAAAGCCGGGCACCTTGACATGGCTGCTCGTCTCTGTTTTTAGGGGACCCGCCCCAAAATGGTGGTTCTCCTTTGGGTACCTCCAACCAAAGGCAGACCGAAATGCCAACATCCTCATGGATTGCCCTAACACACCAAAGTGATTCCCATCGGCTCCGCCGGGGGCTGCTTTGCGTTTGGAGCGCGGCTCAAGGCCTTTGGAGAACCCGGCCCTGTGGATTTCTATGGGGGTGGGGGCCCCTCCAAAAGTGAATCCCCACTAAACCCACCAAAACGCACCCCCCTATTAAACGGGGGTTTGTGAATCCGGGGTCAGCATTCGGCAAGTGCCCCTCACCCTTTGAGGCCAAGCTGCGATGCAGACCTTGTGGATGCGGTAGTGGATCTGGTTGTGCCTTGACAGCATGGACCCCTCAAATGTCGAAAACAACAGCTCCCTATGTACCATCTAGACTGAACCCCCCACCCCCAAAAAAACACACACAAAAAACTACAACAAAAACAACCACAACAGATCGCCAAACTTGCATGTATCATTCAACCTGACTTCCGCGAGAGAAGTTATTTTTCTATCGGCGAGTCTGTGGGAACTGGGGTAGACTCTGGTGTTTGGCATCACTTACACATGCCACATATGCTCATGTTCCACCCACCAAGCCGAAACCCAGGCCTGAACTATGCCTACAGTGACTCTAGTCCAAGCCCAAACAAAGCCTAAACCCACCCTAAACCAAGCTCAACCAAGCCTGAACCAAGCCTGCCCACCCTAAACCAAGCTCAAGCCGACCTCAAGTCAACCCCAAGCCAACACCGAACCCACCCGAAACACTACAACCCACCACCACAGGACCATGTTGGGGAGAGCTGATACTCCTGACCACACCGGGAGGGGAAGGGGGGATACTATACACAGAACTTCCTGATACCCCCAAAGGACCAAAGGAACTCCAGTTTTCCTTCAGCCCCTCTCAGTACGCACTTCCCACTCTTCACTTGGTTGACGTTGGGAGGGGAGCAAAAAATCAAATTTTAGCAGTTAAGGGGGAATTCCCACGAAACCACCATAAGCAAAAATGTAAAGTGTTTCTCAACAACAACCATGTTCAATCCCCTTCAATCCCCTTCAGTCGTCCCATTGAGTCCCTTTCAGTCGTCACTTCCCTTCACTCCCCAAGCACCTGCTCATACAAGTCCGGCCCACCATCTGCTTCTGCAAGAACTCATCCATCTCATCCTGGCAATTCCCCTGGGCTACCTGTCGGGTCCCTCAAATTTCAACTCAACCATGTAGAGCAAACCTGGCGGTGGATCTGGGAAACCGCTGGGGTCTGAAAACTAGGAGATCCATCACCCCTGTGACTTCCTTTTGGGAAGAATAACAATGGTTGGGTTGTAAAGGATCGCCACTGAAACTCGCCCAGCCCCACAAAAAATGCTCCAATTTTGTTTGATAGAAAGTGGATGGCTCGTCTTTTTTTTGCATCTCTCATCCTGCACCAATTGGCAAGTTGGTTATTTTGATGGGAAAACGTAAAGGCGAGTCGCTTTATGAGCTTCGACATGGCCAAACTGGCACCGTGGGATCACCTGGAAAACCATGAGTTGGACGCGGTTCCAACTCAGGAGAATCATCAAGTAACTCTCTTTAGCTGTAAATTAGCTTCCCCTGCCAAACAATATGCGCAGCCTGACAAATGGTTTGTGGGCATATCTCCACATGCGAATCCAATAAAACTATTCAAAACAAAGAATGAAAACACCAGTGGCTGTCTGGGAACCACATGTCCACTGTCCTATGCCCGCGGTCTTAAGGACAAGCTTCATAATATTAGTTTAAAGGAAGAAAATAGTTCCCTGAACCCCCCCCTTTCGTTGAGACACTAGGTCCTCCAGTAGAGAGGTCAGAATAAGGGTACCAACTTTTCTTCCGGTAGTCTATTTAGTAGCGGAACCCTCTCAAAAAAAAGAAATTGGTAAAAGAAACGGCACCTATCTGGGGGACCTAGGACATAGCCCTGCCGTTGTTTATTTGGGGGTTGGAGAAAGGGTCCCTGCTCAACGGATTAAAACTTCGGCTGGGACCAGTTCGCCATCTTGGGCCCCATGGAATATTGATCCACCCCCAGCTGGCTGGTCAAAAAGATCCAACATGGAAACCTGGTGAATCGAAAGATGGACTAAAAGTTGGCGGTCTCCTGGTGCTTTTCATGTTGACCCATACCCATTTAGCTGTTTCTCTTGGTGCCACCGCAACAAAATACCAAAAAACAAAAAGCATACTATATATATATATATGAAAGCATATATACATATAAAAGAGGCAATGTTGGTTCAAACATACAAGTCATTAAAACAAAAAAGTAAAAAGGCGGTCCTTGGTCGGGGCGGGGAGCTGCTGGTTCTTCCGGTGCTCAAAAAGCAGGTCCCGGAAGAAGTTCAGCCGCGCCAGCGCCTGAATCGACTCGCACAAACCACGGGGGATACCTGCCCAATACTTGCGAACACTTGTGGCACTCCTAGGTCCTCTAGTACAGAGGTTAGATTGCCTGATGAGTTTCTGTTCTTTTTGTAGTCTGTTTTGGTAGGGGAACCCTCCCCCAAGAAAGAGTAAAAGGGCACTACTGGGGGACCAGCTTGCGAACGCTTGCGCCACTCGGCAACTTGGGGACACTTGGGAGACTTGGGATTGGGATATACCTGGAAGAGGCTTTTGAAAGTTACCCGCTCTCCGAGAAACAAACGGTGGCTGGACAAAATCCGCTCCGCACCCGGCATGAATGGAACTGGCCAGAAACAAGTTGATCTTTGGGCTATGACTAAAAATGGCGACATGGAGCAACAAGGAGGAACCGAAAGATCAAAAGGTCGACTCTGCTTTGGGCAAGTGAGGCCCCTTTTGGAGGTGGCGCCGTTCAAATGTAAATGAAGGCTACAAAATAGGGGTCCTAATTTTGACACGTGCGGGTTTACCTTTTCCAACCATTGTTTTGAGTTGGCCAAAACTCATTCGTGTACTGGTTTCAACATGTGTTTACACAGTTCTCAAATGTGAATTGATGCGCCTTTTGGGCGTTGGAACCTGATCAGTGGCCCAGTCTCCCAAAAAAAACAAACAGTACTCAAATTATGCTTATTCTCCCTTTGGTTGGCCTTGCACAATACAACCACCGCGCGAAGCCCAAACACCCTTGGACATGGCGCTTCCATGAAAAGGGCCCTCATTCAGGTTGATTTACAGCAGGAAACCCAAAGAAAACCAACTTGACTTTGGACCCACTCCGCATCTTGCCAGCGATATTCTACTCCTTTGCACACAAGCAAACTCTGCAAGATGCGCTCGCAAAGGACCAGTGTCTCAAGCGCTTCGCACCCAGAACCAAGTGGCAAAAAGCTAAGGAACCGGATGGCTGGGAGCAACCAAGAAATGAGACACTTAAAGGGCTCTAACAAACAGGTTACAGAGTGCATCGCATAACACAAACAGCCTCGGGTCCATTTGGGATCAAATCAGCCAAAAACAACTGCACAATAAGGTGCACATTGCAAGTGAGCATGGCGACTTCGCGGAATTTGCACTCGGATTTCTCCGCTCTCATTCAAACATCAAACAAAGCATTTGAGAACGTAACATGCTGAAATGATGAAGGCGAACACATTGGCACCCACGCAAACACGCAAGGCGCAAGCTCGAAATCAAGCTCTCGCACTCCTGCTGCACAGACTGACGCGCACAAGCACACACCAACCAGCACGAGTGACACACAATACAAGACTTGGGTGTGTCATGGTGTGTCGGCGTTGGGGGGTGGGTGACTTTGAGTTGGTTGTAAGGAACCTCCCCATTGGACACGCACCCACCCGGAAGAAAAAAAAGCAACACCAGCTGAGTTGTTCAAAATGGAGGGATCGCTTGGCAAAGCCCCACAAGAGTCCGATCTGTGCCGTCCCCTCAAAATGACTAGAAACCAAGGATTTCCTCACCTGGGCTTAAATCATGCTCGTTACTTGCACAAACAAGTTGCTTAGTCTTGCTTTTAGTTAGCTACAGCTGCCCAAAGGACTCACGTCCAGGCTGTGGTTGAAATGGAATGAACGAATCTGTGATACACCAAAAAGGGACTAACCCCAAAGACTAACGCCCCCCCCCAATATGCACGGGGAGATTCCCAGCTGTGTCACAGTGGTCGGATAAATTCCGAGTGATCAACCACAACCCTGAACAGGTCTGTCCCTTGGAGCTGGCTGTTTGGGAACAAATTGACCAAAGAACAACCCTGAGGTGGGGTTGAATGCAATAAGTCCCAGACCCCTGCCTATGCTTTACTCTTTGCTCCTAGGAAGCCTGAGTGACCCACCAATACCAACCCCGGGGTTCCAGCGGTTTGGCCCTGGATGAGCCGCACGGAGATATCCACCTGGCGGAAATTTTCCGTGGGATCCCTTCGAGTTGCGCCACAGCTGGGCAGAAAAAGCCGGCCCAAGAACCGGAGGTCTGTTGGAGTCACACATTTCATATAGGTCTTGGGACCCCAACACCTGGGCTGTGGGGGTTTGAGAGGCATGGCCCACCCAGATTCAACTTCTGAAAAACACGAGTTGCGGGTCGATCTGCTTCTTTCGGAACCTATGGTCTTAAATGTCATGTTCATGCTGTTGGAAGTTTTTTTTTGTCTGTGCCATTGGCCCTTCATAAGAAACCACTAAACACACACACACATGCCAACAGTAGACTCATATAGGTTGTACCTCACCAGCCCCGCTTGCCCACACCCACCGGTACTTGGAGTTCACAATTCTGGTGTTTCCGTCGCCCCAAGCTTTTGCGAAAAACTCGTCAAGGGCCAAGCATGGCTTCCATTTGCGTTGTTGTTTATCCCCTGGAAAAAGGACAAGTATGCCCAGTCGTGAAATCGTTTCCCTTAAAACCAACAAGGGAAACCCGGTTGCTTTCTGCTCCATTAGTTGGCCAAAAAATGTTCAGTCCTAACATCCCTTGGCAAAATGCACCAAGGGAAAATCGAAGATATCAAGCAAATGGAAGATGGAGGTGTTCCTTCCCCCCGTCCCCCCGATTCTTGGGCTCTCCAAACCGCCGAGAGAAGCTCGCCGCGCCAAATTCAGAAAACGGTGAGTTGGGCTGAGCACTTGTGGTAAACTCCGCGAACAAAACCCCATTCAACAGGGATCCTTACATTACACACCTGAAAATGGTGGTTTGCCTTTATTTTGGTTGAAAAGCCAGGCTTCCCATGGGCAAAGTGTATCTGTTAAGGAGCCCTGTTCAATGCAGAAGTGTTTTGGTGGCCTAACAGCTGACACCAGCAGAAGAAACAGGGAAAGTGTCTTTTTCGGGGCTGGGAACCCACCAAACAAGAAGGAAAAGGGGGAAACATGTTTGGCGATCAATACCATTCGTACAAGGGAGAAGGATGGATTTTTGCATTTTGTGGTTGAAATTTCAAGGGAGTGTCCCATTTGTGTTCAGACCGCAGTGTGCTTGTTTTGGAATGCGCCCTGACTTCTCCGGATAGAGTTCGACCTCTGAGTGATTCCATTCCCTCAAGGTGCATTCTGGGCAGGTATTGCGACGTTTCAGGGGACAGCAAAGGAGTCAAACCGCATAACCCCAGGATGGGTCCATAGCAGACCGTGAAATAGACCACAGTCAACCACCGCAGTGCAGAAATCATGCAATAGCGTTTTGCTAGTGATGTTTTTCTTTTCTTTCGAGCGAGACGTCCGCCTTCCGATCAGGAAACTACATAAAACCCTCGGCAAGAGCCAGCCCCCCCAAACAAATCCTTCGCACTTGCGCGAGCTCGAACTCGAACTCTGCTTTCCAGCCCTCGCCCCGCAAAAGAACCATCGTAAGACCGGGACCTTGGCCCGGATTCAAACTCGTCAAAATGAATTGGTGCGCTCAGGGTACCCAAGGAAGCGATCCCAGCCAATGACAGGTAAAGGACAAGATATTGGATTTCTGGTTAACCATCCCCAATCCATAGGATTGCTTGAATTGTGGGCTGGGGTGAGTTTAGGGGTTCATGGGTGGCTTAGGGTGGGTTGGTTCAGGGTCGGGGGAGGTTTAGTTCGGTTGGTTGATTGGATGTCTAGAGTAGGGTTGGTTTGGGGTTTTTAGGGTGCCGTTGGGCTTGGTGGAAGGTCAAGAGTCGGCTCAAGTAGGTTTGGGTGGGTGGGGCACTTGCCAGCGGTTGGTTTAGGCCTTGGGTAAGGCGTGGAGTTGATTGAGGGTGATTGATTGATTGAGGGTGGAGTTGAAAGATCACAGCTCGAACTCTAACTTGAAAACCCCCCGGGCTCTAACTTCAAGGCCACTCCTTCGGCCAAATCTTGTCCAACACAACGTGCGACTGAAAACAACTCGACACTCGGCCAAACAAGCAGCTCACCACATGTCCAAAAGTGTAGGGGGCCAGCAAACAAAAACAAGGAAGGTATCCACCAAACCGCAAAACCCACGTGACCACCAATCTCGTCTCAAAATGGATCTGAATGACGGAATCCAAGGCGATCTCCCGTTGGATTCCCAATTCTTTTCCCTTAGCACTACCCAAAGAAAGGCACCGACTCGAACAAAGCAACACCAACGACCGCCTTCCAAGGGCGCTTTACCACCAGAAAGCGCAAACTAAACCAAACCGAAGTACCCTCCCACCTTGTCTCGTTTGCTTTCTTTGTGCTCCCCTGCTAAAAGTTCAACTTTTAGTGGTTTGATGCGGACAACCCATTGGGCAAAAAGTTGTTCAGTCCTAACATCCCTTGGCAAAATGCGGAGAAAAGTGTCTTTCTTGCATGGAGAAAGCCTGGCGCAATCCCCCCCCCCACGCCCGACCGAGTCACCGAGTCCGTGGGGCCTTCAGGCATGGCCCCCAGGCCACGTGCCCCGTGCTGGCCACGAATCCTTTGGATCGGGATCGAAACGCGAGCCGCCAGAAGCCGAGCCGGAGATCCCGAAAAAAGGCGCCGGTTTTTTGGTGGGTGACATGGGCTTTGGAGAATTCCAGAGGCTTCCGGGGCTGGGGGTATCACCTGGACGACTTGTTGATCCATGAATCAGGGCACATATATATATATGTATATGTATATATATATATATATCAGCCACATATGCCCCTGCACTGGACAAGGAACTCTGCCAAGAGGTGCTGCTTCAGCCCCCCTGTTCGGAAAAAAGGGAGCCCTAACTTAGCTTGGGAAATCAACAGCGGAAGAGGTACTTCGCGCAGCCCCAGACTTTTGCTCAGATACTCTTGGGGGAAGTCGATTCAACCTACGTCTTTTTGCCACGGACCGGGTCCCCAAGCCCTGATCGGACCCTAGGGTGACGGCAAGAGCCATCTCGGGAGAGCCAAGCGCTTAGCTCGAACCTGAAACTATTAATCCACTGGCTGGACAATTTCTCACCCATGGTGACTCGCGTCCTTTCGTAGGAGTCCATTGATAACATGTCCGGTGAGCAATGGGCGTGTCTTTTTTGAGTTGGTACCCCTTGTTTTGTGGTGAGCGCCCATGATCTTTGGGTGTGTCTTTCAAGGGGATCTCCAAAATTGCGGAGTTGTCCTTTTGGTTTCCATTTAGCACCACAAAACAAGGGGCACCAACTCAAAAAGACACGCCCATTGCTCACCGGAAATGTTATCAATGGACTCCTACGAAAGGACGCGAGTCACCATGGGTGAGGTCGCTCCTTCCCCCCGACATGTGACGTGGCTAGAAATTGTCCAGCCAGTGGATCCATTTCCCTGTGTAGTAGGTAACCAAAAGAACCACCCTTTCAAAACCAAAAGGAACATAGCCGGTTACCTACTCTACGTACGGGTAACTGGGATCCACTGGGGAACATTTTCAGGTGTTCTCAAAATTGCTGTTTCTGCCACGATTTAGATTGAGCTGTGTGCTGGAGGGAAGTAACTTCGCACCCCTCTGAACTCAGCGATCCTGGCAATCCTGGATTCCCAACCAGCCATTTCCTAACAGACCTAGATGGGCAATGGTTGGGGAAGAAGTGCTTGTAAAGCAAGGATCCAATGCAGTTCTACTCTCCTGGTGAAGCTGGCAATTCAGCGCCTTCAAACCCGCCCTGGAACTAACCTCCGTTTCCCGCGGTCCGGTTTTGAGTAAGTTGTAAATGCTGGGTGGGTAAGTGGGATATACCTATGCCTTGCCTGGCACAAAGGAATTTTCCCCCGGTGGGTTCACTGGCTTCGCCTTTTCCTCCAGTTTGTGAACTGTAGTTGTACCTTGGTTGCCGATTCTTCTGACTGAAAGCAATGGGAAGCTAGTGCGCCAAGTTTGCCAATTGCTTTCGGTCTCCCCTTTTAGTGGAGCCTGAAAAAAATGTTGCCGCACCCGTTCATCCTGAAAGTGTACCTCGAATTCAACGACTCCAAGTTGGCGTCACAAGTAGCCCAATGCCGAGACTGCAGCTCCGCCAGGTCTTGCTTCAGTCTAGCAGCAGCTTGAGCTTGCTTATCGACGCGGCCCGAGGGCGGCATCACCTAGACCAGATAGAGCCTGTATGTGCCCCGTTTCCAGGTTTGAAGGTCCTGATCCAAGCTTCTGAGTCTTTGGGAAATGGAAATCCGGGGCCCGGGACCAGATTTCCACTCCGCACAATTGATTTTCCATTGCGCCAATACTAAACCAATACTAAAGTCTTGGAATCCTTATTAGGGGGCACTTTTAACAAGCTTCCAGCCCCACTTGTAAAAAGGTGGGTTCCTCAAAAGATGAATTCCCTAAAAGGTTGCTTCCCCAAAAGCTGGCTTCCCCAAAAGGTTGGGTCCTTTAATTATTGGGGTGTCCCTCAAAAGAAAACATGTCCCCAATGGCTGTCTGTCTCTCGCATGCTGACCTGCCTGGCTGCACCCCATTTTTTTTATTGGGTCCTTTATTGGGGTGGTGTCCCTCAAAAGAAAACATGTCCCCAAAAGCTGTCTAGCTGCGACTGTCTATCTCCTGTATGTGCTGGCTATTTAACCAGCCTGGCTGCAAACAAACAACCAGTAAACTGAAAAACAAATAGAATGATACATACAATTTCCTTATTAAACCGCTTACTCGCGGACCTTACAATTCAATCCATTTCCTCCAAATCCTATGTGAACCCTCACATTGTTGGAAAAGCAAAAAACACCAACCCCAAAAACCCCAATGGGGATTTATTTATAATAGGGGGGGGGGGGGGCGTATTTATTAATAGGGGAAGAGATTGCCTGGTTTGGCATCTGCTAGGAACGGCTCCGCACAACTCTGCAGGAAACGTCAAAATAAATTAGCCGCCCGGTCCTTTGTAGAGGAAAACCCGCGGAGAAACCGATCGGTCCTGAGGCGCTTTGTGAGACTCGCGCCAAAAATGCCGTGAGAACCGCATGAAGAAACATATTTCCCCACGTAGAGAACATGGGCAGCGCCGATCACAATAAGCCCCTGTGCTTTTTGCACAAAATGTTGGCGGGCGGCCCCCGCGTTTTTGTTCTCGATCCCCAATTTGATAATTTGCGGTTCGTTCATCCCTTGCTAAAAGTTGATCTTTAAGTTGGATGCGCCACCACTCCCTCTAAACATCCAAACGTCTACCCGGGGAACGCCAAGAAACATGGACTACACATGAAAAAGGGCGAGCTCAAAATAGGTACTGGTCATTATGCCGAACAGGGTATATGTTACCCCTTCTCCGAATGGGGTATGGAATCCCTACGTGGAGTTGGCCGGAGGGTCATGTCACCTGTTTAAACGATGCCTCTGAAATTAGGTGTTCAGATGTGTCCAGAATTCCAGGTTCATCCCCCCCCCCCACCAAACAAAGAAAAAAAACAGCAAGTACTGCACTGGAAGTAGGAAGTACGGGTCGGATGGAAGGCAACTTGCCATTGCGCCATAAAGGTGAGAGCAGGACCGGGTCTGGAACTTCCCATGAGTCGCCAGGATCCAGGATCCAAATGCATTACTTGCTGCTTCTCAGGGGAATGAGTGACCCCTATATAAACCATCCCCCATGGTTTCCTTTGTTCCGGAATCCCCTTCCGGTTCATTCCCCACACCCTGGGGAATCCCCTACTGAGCACCAGCAAGATCAGCATGTGCCGGCATCTCTCCGGGCGCAAAGCGCCCCGAATCTCTGGTTCATTGTCGGGGCGGGCCCCGCTTTCCGCGAGAAATCCTCTGAACAATGGGCAGATTCCGCTGTGACTCTCCCACCCTACCCTGGCGGCCCGATCCTTGGAAGCACTTCGCGAACAAGGCGGTCGCCGCAAAAAGGCTAAGAAAGGCTATCAAAGACAAAGGTCCACTTTTTTCGAGCAAGGCATGCGCCAAGTAAGGCGCACCGCACAGACAACCGCGCCATTTTTTTTCTTGGGGGGGGTGCCCTTTTTCAAAGCCAAAAGTAAAAAGGGAAACCAAGGGGAAACCAGGGAAACCGTACCTAGTTTCAAAGCCAAAAGTGGCCAACGCCCAACTCCAAAGCGCCCAACTCCAGTCTCGAGCTCCCGGCGCCCTGTGGCAGGGCCAGGCCGTCGGTGAAGTACCACCCGCGCCCGCCTGAACTCTGCCCAGCTTATGGGCTGGGGCGGGGGAATTTTGGGGGGTTTGGGGTTTGGCTCGGGGGCTGGTTTGGGTTTGGGGGGTTGGGTGGGGGGGGTTTGGGGGTTTGGGGGTTTGGGGGTTTGGGTGCTGGTTTGGGGGGCTGAAGCCCAGCTTATGGCGGGGTGGGGAGGGGTTTGGGGGTTTGGGGGGGGGTTCTTGCTGGACCCAACATTTGCCAACCAAAGGGCAGGTGCAGGTCGCCTTGTTTGAGACCTGAGTGCCGTTTCACGTGCCATTCTCGTTTGGAACGGCTGGTCAACAAAAACTGGCTGGTTCTCAGCAAGGAGCCAGAGAATGACAATATAAAGCATCCCCTATGGCTTCCCTGGGAATCTTTAGGTTCCTTCCATTTCTCATTCCCTGCTGAGCACCAGCAAGTTGTTGGGTGTCCCTTTTACCCTGTAACGCCATGGAACTGGCTTGACGGACTGCGGAGTCCTAGAAGTGGACAGTAGGGTACTTGACCCACAAAAACGGGGTACACGGAGAACTGTAGTTTTCAGATGAGTGCAAACATGGTATTAAAATGGCCTACCCAAACCACTACAAAGCCGCAACTAGTTCTGCACCGTCCCTTACTAACCTTCACTTACCCCTAATTGTGGCTCAAATGTTGTTTCGTATTAGCCTGGAGAAGACCCCAGTCATTGGCAACATCAACTTGGCAACATCATCTGGCGAAGGCCGTTTCAGAGAGAATCCTTCACATGCTCGGGACGCAGCCTGGAAAGCCAACGAGAACCTCACCAATTCTTGGAGCACCACCTGTAAAGAATCGACTGGATTCCACCACTAAATGAAAAAGGAACCAAACCAAAATCAGCTTGGATCCTATGCTCGCTTCCAAACTAACAATCTTCAAGGACACCCTTGGTGGTAGATCACTTTTTGGGAGTTGGGGAACCCCTGCCAGGATTGTTTCAAGGGAAACCTCACTAAGCAAGAACACGTTTGTTGTTTCCATTCTGGCTCCGGTCAGGAAGCAACTCGCCATTCACAAACCCAAGTTAAAAAAAAAAACCAGCTGGCCCCTATATAACAGGGCTGCCGGGCTCCGTATTGATTTCCCACTTTAGTGGGTGGCTTTAAGCATCACCTTTTGCTTGCCAGTTTCAGGTGAGTTGCCTTTGATAAGTGATCTTTGGTTATGGAGACTCCCTGCACGAGGATCCGACCGGCATTTATTTTAATTGCGATTACTTGCTGGGTTTTGATGGAAACCCAGCATCCCGAAAGAGTCCATGACCAAGTAAAGTCTTTTGATCACAAAATTCGGGCAAGAACAAGGCAGCGCGAAACTTGACGTAGCGGCGCCAAACATTATCTGTCCGGTGGTTAGGCAAAACGTTTCCGTCTTTTTTTCCATGAGCCGTTCCCCGATTCATTTCCTTGTGCTAGCCGTGCCGTCCCCATTCTCTTCAGGGTTTTTTCTTCAAACAATACGCCAAACTCTGGGGAGGAGCAAATTGCGACACCTTTGCTTGAGTCCACTTGAAAAAGAAATAACTATTTCCAGCAGTGATAGATTCCCTTTGAAACCAACAAGGGACAAAAAGTTCTTAAGCACATGGAAGCCTTGGCTTGGTTTTCGCTCCGCCCAGAAAAGGGTTACACACGGCAATCAATTCCCTGGGCATCTGGGCCCATTTCTTGGTTGACGTTGGAAGGGAGCAACAATCCTCAAACTTTAGCAGGTGGTTGGATTTCAACCACTAAACCACAATAAGCAAAAATGTGGAAAAAAAACAAGTTTCAACCACAACAACCAAGATTTTGATTTTCCCCCCCCCCCCCCGTCCGACCGACTCCGACCGACTCCGAGCGACTCCGACCGCTCCATTCGGCCGACCCGAGCGCGCCGAGGGTTCGGAGCTGCATCTGGCGAAAGGCGCGCTCGAAGATCCAGGTGAAGCACTGCAGCGCCACGGAGCGCTCCTGAAGCGGCGCGGAAATTTCGGACTTTACTTTTTGTTTTTTAGAAGAGAACCAAAAACAACAGCTGGCCCAGTGGATCTCCAGTAGAGAGGAGATGGGGCCCGGGGGGTACCCGTCGATTTTAGCAGGGGAACTCCATCTCCCCCCCCCCAAAAAAAAGAAACGGTGAGAAATGGGGGCACGATCCTGGGGGACCAAAAGAAAAGACAACAAAAATCCGGCCGGCTCTGTGGATCCAGCTCTTGTCTTTTTTTTGGGCTTTCAATTGGTGGTTCCTTTGGTCCTGGGGAAATGGAGGGTGGGGTTACGCAGCTTCTAGGCGACCTTTCTATTTCCCAGCATTCCAGGCGAGCACCCAAATGTGGATGCACTACAAGACCCGACTGCAAGACCCGACTACTGCATAGCCTTTCCAGGCCATCACTTTGAGCAGCCGTTGCTCCCATTTCAGCACCTGCGCCAAGATCGGCCGCCAAATGGCCCGCGAGTTTCATCGGGATCTGCGCTCTCATCTCGTCCGTAACAGCGTCCGCAAAGTGCGACACCTTCTCATGCCAGCTCGAAGCAGAAGGCGACGGGAGCTCGGCCTCTCCTCCTCTTCTAGGAAGATGCACTAAACCGATCATTCTGGAATGGGGAATTGAAAAGGGAAATGCTCAAGCTAGATTTGGAAGAGCAAACTTCAAACTGACTGGAAGAAGTGGAAATCCACACGGGAAAAAAGAAGCCAGAAAATGAAGAGGACAACATCTGTGCGTTGATCATTTGTGAATGGGAAATTCTAAAGGACAAGCTCCCAAGAAAGTTGTTTTTTTTCAAGCTTCAAAAGGAGCAGTCTTGAAGAGGACACTCAAAAGAAAAACGCTCCAAAGCAAGAATTTGAAGAACGCGCTTCACGTTCAGGGGGAACACCCCCTCCAAAAAGTGATGAATCCCCACTAAAGGCGACACCCCCAAAAGAGGTCGACCAGGGTGGGTTATTAATCCGGTGTAAACATTAGGGGTGCGTGGGAACACCCTGCTACCGGAAGGGTTTATTCCGCGAGATTCACCTAGGTCATGACCGACCTGTCATAACTTAGACTAGAGGAATCTCACCACCTCGAAAAGTCGCCAGTTTGTAAACGTCTAGGGTTCCCCTCAGGTGCTGAAAGAGTGCTAAGCGAGTGCGACAATTGGTGGAATCCACGGAAAGGGCGTGAACCGAGGTAAGGGAAGTTGAAGGACATTTTTCGGCATACGGGCTTGCGACTCAAATAGGATGAATCTCCCTGAAACGGAGAGGTTCCTTCGCATAGGGTGGATGCTCTCAACAACCACAAAACCCGGCAACATCGTTTGTTGATGTGGCTGTGGCTCAAACAACCGGTACCAAAATGGAACCCTGGTAAGTGGAAAAATGACCTAAACCTGCGTAACCCCCCTGTGTAATTTTGAACCACACCCACATAGGGGTTTGAATTGTTCCCCTGCTTGCAATACACACCCTCGGGTTCAAGCCCCATTAAAACACAGCTTCGCCCAATTTAGATGACCATCCTTAGGCAAATGGTGGGCATCTGGACCCCCATTAAAAGAATGGTGGTTTGAACCCCAGGGCACAAACGAGTCAGGGGCACTTGGATGTTCGGCCAAGTGCTTAAGTGGTTCGTAAGCGGTTATAACCTACCTACAACCAGCCCAAATCACTCATGAGGAGGATACAATCTAGGTTACCAACCACTAACTTGGCCGACCATTCAGCCTTCACATCACCTTTGCAACATTTCGCCTTAAGAACCCTACTAGGAACAGAAATTCAACAAAAGCCATGAGAAAACTGTAGGTTGACCTGGAAGTCTCGAAATGGGGACCCCTCGATTTTCATTGTCCCCCTTTCACCAAGTGTTGCCCCCCCTTTCCCTAGAGGAAGCGGGGGGATCTCTCTAAAATACCGAATTCCAAAGGAATCCGCCGAGGGCCGTCTGCCTTCATCTACCTCCTTTGGAGGGCTTGCACGGTAATTCGGCTCGCATTGTTCTAGCTGTACCTTCCCCATTCTCTTTAGGGATCCTTCTCTTCAAACAATGGGCCAAATCCCAGGAACATTGGTGGTTTCTGAAGAGAACGATGGGTGAAGAGAATGGGGAATCGCACCTCAGATTTGCTCAAAAGGATGTACGCCCCCTACCTCACGATCAGATTTGAAGGCGCAAAGTGACACCTAACCGAAAATGAACTCAGCTCCATTACACCTCACTAAAAGGAACTCATGTCCAAGAATGTGACGTGTAGCTGGTTCCCTCTTAGATAGGAAGAACGTTCTACTTTCTGATGCTCAGCAGGGAATGAGGGAACGACCCCTACAAACCATCCCCCCTGGTTCAATTATTCGGGAATTCCCAGGTTCATTCCCACATTCCCAACTAGCCACTAGGTCCTCCAGGAGAGAGGTTAAAATAAGGGTACCAACTTTTCTGTTGTCTATTTTAGTAGGGGAACCCTCCCAAAAGAAACGGTAAAAGAAACGGCACGTAGCTGGGGGACCTAGGCAGCTTTATTCCATTCAAACATCGGCTGGCGACTCCTCCGCTGGAAGCTCCGGGATCCCGTTCACGCCTCACCGGAATTCACCGGCCAAAAGGACAGGGAAAGAGCCTGCAACTCGGAGGTTCGCGACGGACGTCTCACGTCCGCCGCAAAAAACAAACAGCGTTTAAAGCGTTTTTACCACCCAAAAGTGAAAGTTCGAAACAAACAAACAAAACAAAATACTTAGTGGTTCGTTGATCAACTTGGAATGGGCTACCCCTCTAAATTTGAAACATCGAAACCCAAGGGCATAGCTGGGAACTGCCAAGCATAGGTTTACTTCTCGAGTCGCGTGCGCCTTCAACTGTCGCGCGTAAACGACGTCAATGTAGCACGTACTGGGTGTCTGTACACTTTGTTTTCTGAACAGAGGTGTGAGCAAGTCAAACGAACATCTAGAGCAGATCAAGTGTCTCAGAGTGGGTGGCTTCCTATCAAAAGCAGCTGTTGAATACACCTCACTGGACAGCTGCACACTTCTAGAATGCAACATTCAATCATGCCGGCATCGATCAATGCCTGGGTGTGCTGAAGACATCAACATCATGGGGAGGGGTCATAACAATACTAACAATACAACCATGCACGGGGCAGGGAAATTGGGTGTTGCTCAAAGTATGCATCTGTTCAGGATTCGTTTCCGACTGATGTCCAAACTATTCCAAGCCATTGTCCCACCTGACAACTCGCGCAGGATTCGGCCCAGCCACAGTACCTCCCTTCAAGGGCCAGAAGCAATCATCATGTTTTGCCACCTCCTGGGTTCGCTATATTATATTTGTCTTCGAGGGTACCATGTGGTTGTGTTTATGTGGAAACCAAATGCAAACCGAAGCCATTTTGGCGGGTCGGATTCCTAGAAAGATAAGCCACCCATATTTCCAGCCGCAAAAGGACACTCCTGGAAGATTGTTTTGCTTGAGGCAGACTTAGACCAAGCTGAAAAGGTCAAAAAAGGTGAGTTAAGTCTGGCAATGCGGAAAGGCCCCTCCCACCCCCTCCACCAAAACCTGCAAAACAGGAATGCACCCCTCTGGGAAATGAGTCGATCGCAAGCTCTAAGGGAACCGAATTCAACCTTTGAGAGTCAAGTCTCGGGCCATCACTTTGGCCAACCTCTCAGGTTCATTTTGGTGGCTTGGATCGGTGGGGATATGAACTCAATATTTTTGCATCAATCGGAAACCACCTCCGGAAAACCTCCAAACCACCAATCTACAACCTATCTGAGAGGGGATCGGAACATCACATAGGAAAGTTTGAATGGGGGAGCCTTTGGTGGACTTCATCATTTGTTCCGCCATCATGGTTTTTGAAGGGCGTAGGACCGTAGGATGTTGCCACACGTGGAACCACCCCACAAAGCAGGACCCAGACCCAAACAATTCCGCCGGTCGCCTCGGTTTGTCATAATCTTAAGCACACGAAGTGGGTACCATTCGAAACGCCGCAAAAAAAGAAGAAGCAGCCAAACGCACAACCCAAAATAGAGACGCGCAAAACACACCCGGTGTTTTACAACACTGCGGCACCTTCCCCAACGCCCAGCCAAGCCAAAACCAACTCAGACCCTCAGCTGGTGCGAAACATGTCGTTGCTTTTAAAGTAACTAACAAATGCCTGCGCATCATAGGTTCTGGAAGATTTACAACAAAACAAAACGTTTCTTTTCTTTCTTCTGGGGCCCTGGGGCCTAGAACCGTGGAACTGGGCGTCCAGGCAATCCACCAGCACAGTCTTGGTGCTCTCGATCTCCAGGCAGTACTTCCCGCTGGGCACCGAGAAGCCGCACATCTTGGGCGCAAGAGTGGGGGGGTTTGGGGGACTCACTGGCTGAGTGGATGGCCCAAAAAAAGTCCGAACTTCATATTTAACACTAAAACGGTCTTCCCAGAAAGTTTAAAGTTCATGAACTCAGGAAGTGAGAAAGTGGGGGGAGAGTTGGGGAGACGCAGCTTCTTTTCTGGGTGGTTTTGGGGGAGAAAACGCGAACTCGGGTAGCGAGAGAGGGGCCTAATGTGGGGATGCTAGGAACACACTGTTGCTTAGCCATTCAAAAAACGCGTTGGGACAAAAAGGGGCCAACAAAATGAAAAGGGTGCAATAAAAATGCGTTGGAAAGGAATCTTTGGAAATACCAAAAAAACGAGGGCTCGCTTCAACGTGGGGAGCAAGCTCCAAGTGATTGTTGCAAGCAACAACCGTTTACCAGTTGAATTGTCCAACTTTAGTTTTTCAAGGCTGTGACTGAGCAAACCCTTTAACCAGAGCCCCTTTAGCTGCCCGTGTTGCCTACAATGTGGCCCACATCCGGACTACACACGACACACAATGCTCAGAGATTGTTTCCAATTTAGTCCACCATAGAAAAAACATTGTTGGTGGAGGCCCCAGATGATGGCTTGCATGCCGAAAAAGTGGGAACCGCCCGGCGCCTGATTGCAGCTCTCGGGGTCCCGCAATGCGGGAACCTCTGCAAAATTCTTGGCTTCAGAATGGGCAGGAAAAGCTGCCCTGAAGAGGAGGACTTCCAGTTGCATGTGGCTTTGTCTCTTTTTGAGGTGGGGCTCTCAGAATGGTTGCCCTTGCAACCTGGTTTCCCATGGTTTCCAACGCCCAATGGTTACCCCTTGGTTTCCCTTTCACCCAACCCCCGCAGAAAAAGAAAACAAAACGAGCCACCCCTTGTGGTTTTCGATCCACCTACCTGCACCGTGGTTGGCCTAGCACAAACAGCAGGGAGGGAGGGAGGAAGAGGGAGAGAGCAGGAGAAACAAAAAGCGAGAGTGAGAGAGAAGAACCGAAAGAGAGAGAGAGAGAGAGAAAAGAAAGAAAGAAAGAAAGAAAGAAAGAAAAGAACAGAAAAGACAACAAAGAAAGAAAGGAACAAAGAACGAAAGTAAGAAGAACTAACAACAAAATAAAGAAATACACTGGCTTGGCCGGCTCTGGTGGTCACCATGGGCCAACTGAGGCCCCGGGCCAGAAGACCCTCATTGTCCACGGTGCCGCCCTCGCATCGCAGCGTGGACCTCGTGCACGGAGAGCGTGCTCAACGAAACAGTCCTCCAGATTTGAGAGGCCAGGGTTTAGGGTACCCGATTTGCTTTTTCTTGCTTGTCTATTTTAGTAGGGGAACCCTCTCCCAAGAAAGAAACGGTAAAAGGGGCAGCACTGGGGGAACTAGTCACCAACGAAACGGAAGGTAGGGACGTGGCATTTTGGAGGCTGCCCCATTCTGAGACATGCCAGTAGATGTTTGAGCCAGGCCTAGGTCCACACTTGGCGAAGCTTAAACATTAAAACGTGTCCGGCAAAGGGTGCGTGGGGAGGATGAGGATGATGTCAAAAGAACACGTTGAAATGAAATGAGTTTCTCCCGTTCTTCAGCGGTCGGCCAAGTTAGTAAGAGGTTAGGAACCCATGTTACACCTTACCGTAAGTCCCCACCTACGAAACTGTTGGTCATTTGCAGATAGGTTTTAACGTAGAGTAACCGAATTCCTGGTGGTTTCCCTTTCAACCACCCCCCAACAGGGTATCCTCACAAAAGACATACCCACTTCTGCCAACCATAGCCACTCGGAAAGGAAGGGAAGTCCAAAGACATGTTTTGTGGATCATCTTGCATCTCAAAATGGCTGGGGCTCAAAAAACCGGTACCAAAATGGAACCCTGGTAATTGAAAACATGGACCAAAACCTGCGGTTTGCCCCTCCTCTTTAATTTTGAGAAGCACACCCGAATGGCACGTGGCATGTGTTGCAAATGGGGCGATTCAATCCACCTGCCCAACCTCAGGAATTCGCAACCAAAAGACCGCCGGGGATGAATTGCTCAACTGGGTTTCATCGAGGTCGCCGGATGAAATCAAACCTCTTTTTTGATCTGTTTGTACGTCTCGGTTGCTTTCTGCTCCCCTAACTTTTAGTAGTTTAAAACGGAAAACCCGCTAGTTGGCAAAGGTTAAAGTCCTAACATTCAAGCAACATGCACCAAAGACATGTGGACGTTGTGACAGGATGCTAAACCACACACAAGTGGTTCATCTGGCCACACCTTAAGCCACCTTCCCAAGGGCACCTGGTTCAGAGAAACCCTAAATTCAGAAGGGTCGAACAAGGTCCCCACTAAACACCGCCGCCCCGCCAAGAACAAAGACCACGAAAACCTAAACCAATACCAAACGCGATTTCTCCCCCGAACTCTCCTCCAGTACTAGCACCCTCCCTCAGTCAGTCAGAAGTGACCGGACCTGAACCAGTCTCAGGAATCCGCTACAGCTATTGCAACCAGATCCAGTTTCGTCTGGCTTGAAGGATGGCTCCCTTGAGTGACTAAATAGAAAGCATGGAATCGCTTAGTCTGCCAATTGAGCAAAAGAACTCCTCCCCCCCGACCAGTGCCCCATCAGTCACATAGGAATTTCAATATGGTTGCCAGTGAGTCCATTGATCAAAGTAGATTCACAAAGAAACTACTTGGGTGTTCGGCCAAGTTGGTAAGTTTTTATTAGCCCAGTTACTACCACTTATAAAAAATTGTTGGATTGGAGTTGGCCTACTCGAAAGTAGGATATAACCTGGGCACTAACTTGGCCGATCACCAAAGTGCCCCCAGACTTTGAGAACTCAAATCCTCTCACTTGCCCCGAGGACCTGGATCTTAAACTCAGTTCAGCGACCCTGGGAAAAAAAGGGAACGACCATTTTTCGTGGGGCAGCCACCAAAAAAAAGGGGGAAAAATGATTGGTGCCACTGAACAACTGAGTAAAGGTGCTGCCTGGCGCCATGATCTAAGATCATTTCTGGCTCGCGGGAATAAGTCGGAATGACATCCCATTCCTTCAAGGCTTCGTTTTTGATGCGAGCCACCTGTGGCTTCCCTCAGAAAGTGTCAAAAGAGTCGAAGAATCGCCGGAGTCCAAGTCGGGGTGTCTAAACATATTGCAGAGTGTGATGGCCGAAGCCCTTGATATTCCCCAACTTGAACCAGCCAGAAGAGGCAAACCAAAAGGTCAAGTTCAGATCCGGTGGGTTCGCTCTCTGCCGAGTGGGACATCATGGAAACCAGCCGCAAAAAGTTCGCCGACCCGACCCAAACCCAGAAGTTTTCCATAGCTCGCTGTTGGTTGCCTGTAGGGCTGATAGAAGCACAAGAGCCACCCAGCCCCGTTCCCGACTCGCAGGGCCTCCCCTTTGAAAGGCGGAAAGCCGGCGTTTTTTTGGCGCCAGCCCAAAGGGCTCCAAAGGCAGACAACCGCGAGGACCCCAGTTTTAAGGGGACACCCCCAAAAAATAATTTTTAAAAACAAGTAATGGAAAAGACACCCCAACACAAGCAGGTCGCCCCCGAAAAAGACGAGCGAGCCCATTAAACCAAACCAAACTCCGCCGCGGCGCCCTTCTGGCATCTCCAGCCGCCCAGCCGGCTCATCCTGGCCTGTGACAGCTCTCAGCCAGCTCTCACGCCGCCGTGTGAGGTCGTTTTTTCTTCCCCCAGATCGCTGGAATTTGGCAGTTTTCAAGTCCAATGTGCTCCTGCCCTATTGAACAGACTGGCTTTTCTGTGTTGGTTGAGTCCAATGTGTTCCTTCCATTTCGAAGAGAATGGCTAACATGGGTTTTCTGTCTTGATGTTGTCCCATCCGGCAGCTAAGGCAAACGGAGCCCTCAAAGGTTCGTGGTTGCAATAGTGGGCCGACGGTGTTGTTTTGCTCTTCTTTTGATCGTTGGAGTTTGGATAATGTTCTCAAACAAGAGTTGCGCGTGTAAACCTTGCGATGCCAATGGGCATAATTTTGCCGGGTTGCCTGCCATAAAGAACAAATCCAGCTAGAGTCTAAAAGTTGATCCGTTGAGTCTGTATAATAAGTGACACTTGTGGGATATATGTCATCACCTCTAAGCTCAAGTCGAAGTAATCTAATCGCATGTTTTATTATTATTAGTAGTATTATTACTATTATTATTTTATGTTGTATTTAACTTCTTTTTTTTTTTTATATTTTATTTATGTTATATTTATCTTTTTCGGAAGAAACCAGCCCTGGGTTGCACAAGAATAACCCGGTGTTGTAAATTGCACCCCGTATTTAAGCCGTACAAGCCCAGTGTTCAACCCGTACTAACCCCGTATTATTCGTACTGGTTATACAAACCAGGTTTCAATTTTACACCCCGGTTTTTTGGCACACCCTGCCAAAATTCCAGGCTTTGGGTTGACCTTGGTCCTAGCCCCATCCACATGAGTCTGTATGTTTAAAAGTACCCTTTGTCGGTTCCTTGCGACCCTTGGAGGCAACCCAAAGAGTTCCAGTTACCTTGCCCCGTGCTTGGATCACGAAACACGTGAATCCAAACCAACGGATCCACCAAGAAGGTCCGGGACCCAATAAGACAGTATCCATGTAAACTGGCAAACCGCAGGGTCAAGGCCAGCATGGTGGAAGCAACATTCCACGTAGCAAGGGCTCGCCACGCGCTGCCGGAGAGGATTGAGAAAGCCAGCTACATAGCTATGAAGCCAGAGCCTACTTGTAAACGCCCCCACACAGGGGGAGTTAGGTCGGAAAGTGGGGAAACACTGCTGTCTGTATAGGTTGTTAAGCACCTACTTGGTTGAACCATGACGCACTAAGGTGAGCAAAAACCCAGGTTCTAGTGAGTAACAAGCATTGTCATACGAAACCATCAGGTACACTAGCATACAAATGAAGAGAATTCCCCCCCCCCCCCCCCAAAAAAAAAAAACAAAAAGAGGAGAAATGTAGCGTCTACAAACTGCCCGCACTTTTGCAGAACTAATTCTGTAGGAAAAACATGGGGTTGCTACAAAAACAAAAACTACAAAGTGGGATGACCCAGGCGAGACCCCCCTTTCACTACCCCAAAACTGTTCCGTTCACATGTAGGTCAACCTCACCCATTTTGTAGGGGGAATGTGTCGGGGATGAGATTTCAACGAGGACATTTGGGGGAAGTCCACAAGAGCAAGCCAGGTGAGTGATTCGGGGTACATGGGTGTCTTTATTTTATGGACCCCCCCCGGTAGCCTCTTCGGAATCGAGAAGAAAGGGCTGGTGGGCTGGTGGTTGAAACGAAGGATGAAGCGAATGGAAAAGGAATCCAACCACTTTGTAGGGTTCAACCCTCATAAAAATGAATGGCAAGGACCCCATTTGGATGATGACCATCCTTGGATAAACAATGGTTGTATGAACAGTATGAACCTCCATTGCTTTAATGGTGGTAACTGCACCTCAGGGTGTTTGTTTCCTTCAACAATCATGGGACTCCAACAATAAGACCATGTTTGGAGGTTAGGGAAGGAGTTCGGACCCTATAAGCTGCCTTGATCATGGGCCCTCTCTCCCTTGCTCAGTGGATTCGCCCGAACAAGTCTGCACTTGCTTCTGTTTTTTGTCTTGCCACCAAAACGGGTCCAAACCCCAAAAAAGTGTTTCTAAAGTCCGAAGCGGAACCCAAGAAAGTGGTCGAAAGGAACTCACCAATGATGGGACTCCAGGAAAGAAAATGTCCAGGAACTCAGGAATTGCCACGCCTGGCCCCCGGGACTGCACCCAGAGATGCCTGAGCGAATCCTTTTTTGGCAAGTGGCCGGCCCCCCTTTTTGGGGACGGTCCCCAAAACAAGGGAACAAGGGGAAAAAAACAAAAGCGAAAAAAGTCCCAAAGAAACAACACCCAGGAAACAAGAAACATAATAATGGAAACAACAACAGGTGATAATAACAAGAATCATAAACATAATGATAATCAGATTAACAAACTGACAATAATAATACTAATAATACTAATAATAATCGCAGAAACAACCGAAAGAACAAAACACAATATGAAACAACCACAACAACATGCACCCGTCGGCTACCAAACTGGGCGGTGTTTGGTGGTTGCCCTAGGGCCCCCCAAAACTGGCTGCCAGTTTTGGGTTTTGCTGAGCCATCCTATAACCCATCCCAGTGGATATATGGATATATGGATACCTGGAGTCTCCATGACCCTTAAAAACAGAGTCATTACCCAAAATAATGGGGTCATGAACCCATTTTAAAAAGGTCATGGAGACTCCAGGTATATGCATTGGGGGTCCGTTGCAACGTGGACAGGAGGCCCGGTAGCTTTGAAAAAGAGTCCAACTGGTTCGGAGTCAGGGCAAAGGAGATGGGGAATCATGGCCATAAATGGCCCATGGTTGTGAGTCATTAGGCTGCAATGACTCGTCTGGCGCTGAATCAATGGAATGCAAACAGGTGCCACAAACCACCAATCCCTCACCTGAGTCGATTAGCCAAAACAACGTCCAAACTTTCCATGTCCCACTAGGTCCTCCAGTAGAGAGGTTGGAATAAGCGTACCCTTTTTTCTGTAGTCTATTTTAGTAGGGGAACCCTCCCCCAAAAAAGGGTAAAAAAGTAAAAGGGCACTACTAGGGGGACCTAGCCCACTAAAATGGTCGTCCCAAAAAGCTGTAGGGAACTAAGGCAGTCAGATCCAAAGTGCCTTTCTTAGCACGTGGGCATGCTCAGTAGCTGGCTCTCCTGGATATCAGAATAAAGCCCTGGCACCACGAACTCGGCACGTGGTCACGAGGAAGCAGGGCTGTACAGGGATCCGGATGCAGTGAATCCACCTGAACATTGCAACTTGTAAATGGTGGTGTCCCCTTATTTTGGTGTTGAAAAAGCAACATGTTTCAAATGGTGGCAAAATGGTGATCGTTTAAGGAGCCCTGCTGTATTTGATGCTAACCCCACAATGCGCGGGGGTCGGCCTCAGCTTCACCACATTCTCGCAATTGTCGCCGTGAAAATCGCTGGCTCTGATGGAGCCGGCCCAGAGAAGATGTCCGTGCGTCGTGCCAGAAGACGCGCGCGTTGGCCGCATATGAGTCTCTCCTTGTTGGAGTTGGTACCTCTTGTTGGTCTGTTTTCAAGGAAAACCACAAGGAACACGGCAATCTGTTGGGGGTTCGATTCCCAAAAACAAAACCGACCCATTTGAACAAACATAAAACTTTACGATGGTTTTTTCTTTGGCGGGGGGGGGGGTCCGATGGCCCCCCAAAAAATAAATAAATGACCCATATAAAACTCGGTTGCTTTCTGCTCCCCTGCTAAAGGTGTATCTTTTAGTTGGTTTAATGGAAACCCCATTAGTTGGCAAAAAGTTAAAGTCCTAACATCCAAGCAAATTGCACCAAAGAAAAACCACACCTCACAGGTTGATCTCTCCTCACGCCCACGCAACAGGTGAGGCCCTGGCTGCCCCGCAGAGAGCGTCAGGGTCTCGCCCTCCGGGATCCGCAGCACCTCGCCCCGGCAGACCTGGCGGCCGGGTGGGTGGGGTGGGGTGGGGAGGGGGGTGGGGGAGGGGTGGGGGGGGGGGTGGTGGGGGTGGTGGTTGGGGGGGTTGTACTCCAGGGGTTTACCTGGCAATGCCCGGGTTTTCTCAGGGCGTGCTCGGGCTTTCGCCTTTTTCCCAGATTCCTGCAGGTGATGTCACAGTTGAGACAAGTTCTGGGTTGCTGCGAAGTCCCCCGAAGGAGCAAAAGGTGGAGCACCTACTTGGGTTTCGTGTTTCATGACAAAGCCACCTGGAGTCTCCATGACCCTTAAAAACTGGGGTCATTACCCAAAATAATGGGGTCATGAACCCATTTTTACAGGGTCATGGAGACTCCAGGCACTTGTTTTCAAAAGGACTAAGGGGCGAATTGGTCACAAAGACCAGCCATGTCCTATAGGTATAGGTCTGTATGGGTGCATGGATCCGTCTCTTAGGCAACATGTCAGTCTGGCTCTGGCAGCCACTACTCAGAAGTATCCCAGAACGTTGGGGTCAGCCTGTCACTGGATTTCCCCTTCAAAAGTTACAATTCACCAAAAATAACTTCCTTTGAAACTGTCACTTTGGGAGGTTCCAAAAAAGTGAAATGGAGGGAACCCGGCAATACCGCGGTTCAAACTCGAACAAATACGCACCTTCACGCTTAAGACCATGGCGCATGTGTTCGCTTTTTCCTCCGGAACAAAACTGCCATTGGGTGCTGCCACGTTCTACAAATTAAATGTGTGTGTGTGTGTGCATGTGTGTCTGATTTTTTGGGGGACCCCCAAAATGGTGCTGTTGTGTTGGTTTACTTTCAAACCACCAAACCAAGGGGCACCCTAATTTTCACAACCCAGTCATTCATCCATGTTAATTATGCCAAACAACACGCCTTTCCGCCATACGTGGCACAAGCTGAGCGGGATCGAGTGAACATGGCTTTCGTTGGATGGGTTCACATGCTTTCCTTCCTCATGCCATGCACGCTATTGTTTGGCACAAGTTATTTCCGAATACCTACGGCGGATGGACGAAATCCTGCCCCACCCGAACAAACCCTGCAATGGTGATTTCCCTGCAAATTCCAAGAAACAATGGTTTTCTGTTGTTTCTTAGGTGGTGCAGGATTCTGTGCATCCGCAGTTTAGCAGGTGACCAAGGGAACCCACCCAACTGAAAGGAAATCAAACACCTGGCGGCCGAATGGTCGGCAGTTTCTGCGTGCGCCTCCCACTGCCGGTGCCGGATCTTCTCAAGGGAGACGACGCGGGGCCCGAAATGGCCCAAGTTCTCAGAGAAGAAGCTGCCAGGAGCGTAGAGGTCCTGAGCTGCGGCATAATTAAAGGATCTGGAGAAATACACCGAGGCAGATGGAACAAGTCTCTGAAAGTCGGAAAGTCAAAATTGGGGGGGGGGGGATTGCACCATCTGCCAAATAAGTCTTTCAGGTACTGCACAGGGCGAAATGCCAAACTAGTACGGAGTTGTGCGGGGCAACTTGAAACCACAGTGAGCCATGATCATAGCAGCAACGAGTGTGTATTTTTGTTTGTTTGCTTACCTGCTTGCTTGCCTGCCTGCCTGCCTGTCTGCCTGCCTGCCTGCGTGTTTGCTTGTTTGTTTGTTTGTTTGCTTCGTTGCTTCTTTTTTTGTTGATTGTTTGTTTGTTTGTTTGTTTGTTTGTTTGTTTGTTTGTTTGCTTCTTTGTTTGTTTGCTTGCCTGTTTCCTTCTTTGTTTGATTGTTTGCTTGCTTGCTTGTTTGTTTGTTTGTTTGTTTGTTTGTTTGTTTGTTTGTTTGTTTGTTTGTTTGTTTGTGTGTGTGTGTGTGTTTGGTTGGTTTGTGTGTGACACTGCTGTGCCGCATGGATGACAATTTGATGCGCTCACTGGAGAACACGAGCTCCATGCAGGAGAACACAGCACCAGGCCACCTGGCCAAATCCCCCCATCCGCACCAGTCGCTGCAGCTGCGGGGTGAAACTTGCCACACCAGCCCTGCTTAAGCATGGCTCCCATGCAGTGCACAAGTGCCTGCGCCTTGGGCCCGGCAAATAGAAGGTTCTGGCAAATGGGCCAGATCTATCTAGGGCTTGATTCCTTTTCCATTTTGCTCAACCACCGTTCTTGCAAAAACACAGCCGTTTTCCCTGGGTTTCCGCAGGTTTTTTAGAAAGAAGGATCCCTGGAAAGACTGGGGAAGGTACACCTAGAACAAAAAAAAACATCTAAACCAATGGAATGGATGCGAGGGCCAGGGCGACAAGCTACTCAATGGATTAATAATCCATCCTATTAGCGGAATGTCACCCACAAAAGCAGAGGACACTCCCCGATCAAATTCAACCAGGGTTCATTAATCCAGAGATCCGAACATGGCTAACTCAATCGACACACTCATATCATCTTGCCCAAAACCTTTCAAGAAGCGTGCTGAACAGAGCTGTGGGAAATGATCACTTCTGTGATACAACAAAAAGGGCCTTTCAAAGACTAGCCCCCCATACAAAGAGAGGATTCCCTTGTATCACAGAAGTGGGGATAAACCTCGAGTGATCCCACAACCCTGGTGCTGAACAACAATCGGCCCAACTCTAAAAAACATCGCCTGGGGCACTCACCACACAAAAATGGGCCATAAACGCGAAATACCGCCCAACCAAAATGCTAAAAAATTGTCCCTTTCAGACTCGGTCTATCACAAAAAACAAAAACAACATGTTGGAGCCCAAACAATTATGGAGTTATGCAACCAGTACTGATGATGTGGCAATTGTGTGTATTTATGCTGCCCCTGCTTTTTTGGACAAAATGGGCAGCGGGTAGTGGCAGGACGAGAGGAAGGCTTACTACTCCTATGTGTTTGCCGCTCGCGTTTTTGCTTGGGCCACCTTCCCTTTGAGGCAACTTTGAGCCCAGTATCCACGCTGATGTCGTCCCCCTGCATTTCGCGCACCACACAGGGCAGCCTCAGCTGTACCGCTGAATGTGGCGAGACTCGAAGGTGCTGGTGTGAACCTGATGTGAATTTCAATGAGGGACCCTTTGGTGGGTATCATTTAGGTAGGGATTCATGTCCAAGAACTATTCTTGAGGTGGTTCCCGATTTAAAGTCATAGCAATATGATATGACAGCTAGCCTTACTCATGATTATGCACATCTGGTAATCTTCTTTGTAACGATGTCACATTGAGTTCGGACCAGAACTTGCCGTTTCAATGAACAGCTGAGAAGAGGATGAGGTGAATCAAAGAATGTTCGTTGGACACTGGCTTTGATACCTGTAATGTCTTTGGCTACTGGATTCATCCAAGACCCGCAAGCACAAGGTATGACGACCTGAAGAGTTTCAACAGGCAGGGTTCTCGTGGTGAGTAACTCTGGTTATCACCAAGTGGGTTCTAGTAACCATGTCTCCAACTTCTTAACTTGCTGGTGCTCAGCAAAGAATGAAGGAATGACCCTTACAAACCATCCCTTGTGGTTTCCTTCAATGGAATCATCAGGTTCTTTCCCTCATTCCCTGCTGAGCACCGCAAGTGAAGTACACCTGGGAGAAAATACCAAATCAACACGGGAAGCAAAGCAAACACTTCAGCCACGTGAGCAATGACGGTAGAGCTAGACTAATTGAAGTTCGACAGTTAGAGGTTAGTGGCTTATACTAGAAGTGCTAGAAAGTAAAACTTAGAGATTGGTACTTAGAAGCAGTGCTGTGATTTGAACAGTGAACCAGCCTGCTGGGTGATTTCTTCCCCGTGCAAGAAAAAACACGGAACATCGGGAACGTGTGCAGCAGTGGTCCAAACTCCCTGGCCGTGGCTCCCTCAATGGCTGCTAAAATCGCACCGGAGACGGTAAGCTATTGTTTAGGGGGATGGTTGTAGGGAAACCCTTTTCCATGACTAGATTGTCATTTTGACCTTGTAAATCCATTTTGATAGGATGCGGTAGTATTACATCATGTCTCTTATCTACATGTAACTTGAAGGGAGATCATTTGGCCAAGTTTTCCACGACCAAAATCCACAGTTTTTGCGGCGTGTCCCACTTGTCAAATCGGGTTCCAATCATAATGACGAATTTCTCTGGTCCGCCTGAAGCTTGAGAAAAACCAACATCCAAGGTCCAAGTTAAGGCGAGACCACCCGACTCAGTGAAACAGCCCCTGCTCTGCCCAGTAAATTTTCTGTCCTCGCTATTTTACCATGATCAAAGTCAGCCCCTAAGTGGTGGGTTAAAGGGAAACAACCCCATTTTCTGACTTTGATAACTCCCAGAAACCGTCAAAATAATGACCCCAGTAAAATATTCTGCATTTGTGCTGGGATCGGCGTCTCTCGCCTCTGCGGCCTGTTGGTCTTGAAATGAAAAAGCTTCAACCCTCCAAACCCTTTGCCAGAAGCGAAATGGCAGCACCATCCATAGAGACATCGGAGCAATTTCGATCATGGACCGCCAAACTCCTAAAACATGAAACACACCCCCCATGAAACCGGACCATATCCCCATTCCTGAGGGTACTAGGTCCTTCAGCAGAGAGGCTAGAATAAGGGCGCCAACTTTTTTCTGTAGTCTATTTTAGTAGGGAACCCTCCCCAAGAAAAGAAACGGTACAAGAAACGGCACCAATTGCTGGGGGACCTAGGGTATTTTGAGGCTTGCCGCTACTTCCATGCGAGCGGCCAATCCTGGTGAAGCTGCACCTCGTAGCTGTCCGGGCGGTCAAGCACCAGATCCTGGCGTTGAGGCACAGACCCCGAAGCACGAAGGGTCCACCAACAATCCGTGGCAAGCCCCCAACAATCCTCCACCTTATTCAAGCTTCAGGGAACTGGGGCCTTAGGTATTAAGGCCTCACCAAGGCGACAAGCAATAATCCGAAGGCTCAAAACAGTAAGCTTCGAAAGAATAATCCGAAGGTTCACAAATCATCCGAAGGTTCCACAGTCCAACACTTTCAGGCTCAAAACAACCTGATCCGTGCACAGCCCCCAACAATCCAAGTGTCTCATGAGCTTCGGGGAATCCAAGTTGCCTCATGGGGCCTTAGGTAAGGCCGATCCTGGGCTGTTCCCAACCTCCTGGGCTAAAAAACACGAAGGCTCCACCAATCATCGGGCTGAAGAGCCCATGGCCTTAAGCCCCCAATCATCCTACCGGGAACGCGAAAGGTTTGTCTGATTTCGTGCGTGGCCTAAGCCCTGGCCTCAAGAACTTTATGGCTGACCCTGGCCTGGCACCCCCTTTCCCCCCCCACCCAACCCCGAGTCCTTTGGGAAGAGTTCCGCGCATTCCAGTGGCTAGTGTGAGGTTGCCAGGGGCTTTTTGGCTTCAAGTGCGAACCAAAGCACACCCCCGGTCAACATGTGTTCTTGGATGCGATCTTTGTCTAGGCATTGCTCGGAGCAGCTTTTTTTTGTTCCGGGGACGACAAACAAAACGGGATTTGGAGGGTGCCACAGAATAACTGGGGCACGTTGATCATCCTTTAGAGGCTCAAAGCAACCCTCCCACTGCTTCCAGCTTTTCTGCTATAGCAAGTCACGAGGGCAAACCATTTCAATACCATAAGGACGGAACCCTCAAAGAAGACGAGCCACCCACAGGTGGATGGATTTGCACCAAAGGAACACCCAAACGAAACCCATTTTGGGGCTCTAACAAATATACGAATGGGTATGGGTCAAAAATAAAGCACCAGGAATTAGACCACAGGTTTGAATGTCCATGTTTTCATTTACCGATCGGGGCACCCCATTTTGCGGTTACCCGATGTTTGAACCACCCACACACACACACACACACCCGTCTCAAAATAGGGAGACCCCGAAAAAGGCAACAGTTTCCTTTTGGTTTCCCTTTAAAACTCCAAAAGGGTCAAAATAAAGCCTCCCAAATTTCACTTCCTGAGTGGATGGCAAAAAACAGCTCGAACTTGCTATTTGCCACCAACATGGTCTTACCAAAAAGTTTCAAGTCCACTCGGCCATGGGGAAAAAAACAATCTTTTTTGCCTGGTTGACTTTAAAGGGGAACCCTTCTCGAAAGAAAAGCTGCAAAAAGGAAGCAACCCACTGGGCAACCGGGTCCAGGAACTCGAGCAAGACATGGCAGTGGGTCAAAAATCAGCCCCCAAAAAGGAACCCTGGTAAATGGACACATGCACATTGAAAACTGCAGTCCTCTGGTGGCTTCATTTTGACCCTTACCCATATTCCACCCAAAGCTGAACTTTCAGAGGGATCGGTTTAAGGCTTCATGAGCTCTTTTTCTGGGGACGCTAAGATGTCCAATGTGGCCATGGATCAAAAGTTCGTACCCCTAGTGAACATCCCAATCCCCGCTAAAATAGGTTCTAAAATGGGTGGTGCACCTACCCCAACATGGTACCATTGGTTTTGACCCACAGCCAGGTGCTGGTAATCTAAAAACCTGAGCTCCCAACACCCCCCATATCCCCCGACCCGACCTCGCGCTCCAGGGCGGGGCTGATCTCAACTCTCTCCACCGCAAGGCCGGCGGCGCAGTCACCCCCGAACTCAAGGGTTCGAACCTCATCCGAGATCAAAAGTCTTCCCAACATCTTCGGGGCTTTGAGGGAGTTTCCCTGAAATTTCAGGTCTTGATTTCTTGTGTTTTTTCCCGTGTGTCTGTTTTTATTGGGTTGTTCGGGTTCTTCAGAATTGTCCAAGGAGTTCTGAAGACAGCAACAGTGGGCGGCTCCCTCCGCCCGAACGAGCAAACCATTTGTCTCCAGGTGGTCTCTCCAGGGAAGTAGGTGGCACATTCCTCCCCCCGCCCTCCGGTTTGGTTGAGCAGTCCCATGCCGTCCCCTTTGCTTTCCCACAGCTGCTGGGAATTGGGCCATCTACTTTCACCCGTGTACTGAAGGAATCAACACCAAACCAACCGCAAAGAATCAAACACTAACGCTGTTAGTCAACACTCGACACAATGAAAGATTATTTTAGTAGTGGTTGATGCAAATGTTAATCCTGGCAATGGGTGCCAGGGTCGAAGCGACAGGTCAGAATCCAACATTACTTGGGGGACCTTTTTTACACACTGAAGTCGGAATGTTGATGACGAGGTTGCTGTGGTTGCAGCCCCTCGCCCTATTGTTGTGTGGTTTAGTGATCCTAGGTTCATGACGATGACGATGACGATGACGATGACGATGACGATGATGATGATGATGATGATGATGATGACAATGATGATATACGATGATGACGGCGACGGTGACACATGCTGATTGGGGGACTCCTTCGTTTCTGCGGCCTGAAAGCACAGGCAGATTTGTTTTACATCGTGGAATTGCGACTTCTTTTTTTGAGGCCAGCCCAATTGTCGGATCCCATTGTAGATTGGGGTCCTTCGTATTCGGCTCCCCGCCATCCCCCAGCCTACTTCTAGCACCTTCTGTTTGTTCCAAAAATCTTTAGCCCCATCAGCCGACAGGTCAAGGCAAACGTGCCCATGTTTCAGTCGACATCCCATCATCCTTTTCAGCGCGCAACGTCACGCGTTGCCCAAACCGAGTTTGTCTTGCCTACCTGTGGTGAAGTACACACCCGGAGCACTTTTCACTTCACACATTGTGACTAGACTGTGGCTCAAAAAATGAACCCTCAAATTGGTGGCAACAAAGACTACCTGCCCTAACCCTAGGTGGTTTGTTTGAGCCACACTTGCTTTGATTTCTCCATCCGGAAGCCCGATTGCTACAGGCCAGGCCCTGCCCGGTATCCTGGTCTAAAAAACATGTGCAAGGTCTTTTGGGAATGAACATAACTTTTGGCAGAAAAGACGTGTGGCCATTTTGGGATTTAACATTCAGCATAGCCGCAGCCTCGGTTTTAAAACCAGGCGGTGCCCTTCCGGAACTGTTCAAAATTCCGGACCCGAAACAGCCCAAACCCGCTCCGAGCCACTCCAGAACCTATCTGGGCCTGTCGAACAGCAATTTCAACTTTTGGGTTAACTCCATGAGTCCCAAACTCAAACGAAAAGTCACCGAGTCCGTTGAACCGTCGCGCCATGACTCGTCTGCCAAGAAGCTCCTAAGGCGTCTTGCATGGCTTGCTGGCGCTTCCTTGGCACTCCATCTGGGTTGATGGATGTTTGTTGAACCAACTCCTCAATCAGGTTGGTTTATAGGGACGCCACTAGTTTTGCCACAGCCATTTTGACTAGGACAGGCACAACGTCCTGTCTAAAGCAACCCTTGAGGATTAATGTTGACCCCATAACCGCAGTTTATTAATAGGGGGGGGGGGCGGGTTTGGCCCCTCCAAAAGTGGTCTGATTCCGACTACTAAACCCAATTGGACACCCCCCTACTAATAAACTGGGGTTGATTCATATGGGATCAACATCACTCCTGAATCAGGGTGGTTCAAAGGGAAACGGCCCGCCTATGTTGACGAGCCATTAGCCATCCACGTTTGGAAGAACTAACAAGTCAAAAAAGGAAGCTAATCCGGGCAATGAATGGAGAAAGGCCAAGAAGCACGTAGGTGACACCCTGAAGACTATTCTCTTTTGTGGCAGGCTAAAAAGGGAAACCCTCAAAATTATTTTTTGACAACGAGTTTTAAGAATGCAACCACTACGGATGCAGTGCTGCCCTTGACGGAACAGCCCAAAGTCTAAAACAAGGTTCAGATCCGTTCAGATCCCCTGCTAAAAGTTTAGGTTTTTACTCAGTTAAATGGAAGCCCCCGGTAAACCAAAAGAACCTAACAAACGAAAGAAAGAGACGGCTGGGAACTGCCACTAAAATAGGGCTCCTCTTTTCAGATAGTTTCAAAGAGAAACCAACAACCTGGGTCGGACCCCTGCTGAAGACGCTGGTCAAGGCCATTTGCAGGAAGGCCTTTGGAGTATGGAGGTTTGCACATATAGGAGGAGAACATAATGCCGCAGATAGCTCATATTCGTGGTATATACCGGAACAGCCCAGATTTAACTAGGTCCTCCAATATAGAGAGGATAGAATAAGGGTACCATTTGTTTTTCTGTAGTCTACTTTAGTAGCGGAACCCTCCCAACTAAAAAAAGGTTTTCAGGGCTACATCCCATATCGACACGCCCTTGATCCTAGAGGTACCTTCCCCCTTCTTTCCAGGGATCCTTCCTTCTAGACTACCTGCGGAAACCCGCTTTTTTCCGGAAAACAACGATGGTTGAAAATAATGGAAAAGGAATCAACCCCTACATAGATTTCAAACAAGAAACGGCAAAAGGGCACCTAGCTGGGGACCCTGATTTCAGCATCGCATCCCTACCTCCCACGTCGACCCCTTGATTGCTGCAGTCCGCCGAGCCGCAGGTTTCGCGGCATCTCGAAGATGGTCCGCTTCAGCTCCGACTCCTCCCGCGGCAGCATGGCGTGGCTCTCGGCCTGCGAGCTGCCGCCACGCGACGAAAATACAGCGCTTTGAGCCTTCTATTTGGTTAAGACCCCTGGAAAAAAAACTAGAGGACGATTGGCCCGAAAGCATTTTTCCCCAGGTGCTCATCCAGCCGCGGAGACACCTTTTTACATCGCTGCGGCGAGCGTGTCTGCACGCGGCTCAATGTGAATGGTCACATGAGAGCTCCATCTCATCGTCCTACGAGAGGAAACATGGCAGTGCCCGATCCCACATATTTACATCCGTTAAAGCAAGAAGAGCAAAGCTCGTAAAGCTCGAAACGAATTACAAGGAAAAGGAAAAGCAATCAATAGCAAAGCTTACACGACGGCCACAGTTTCTGCAAAGCACGCTCGCGCAACTTAGCTCTGTGCAAGATGGCTCTGCGCAGCTTGGCTCTGTGAAAGTTGGCTCTACGCAAGCTACTTTTCGCGAGTGGCTCTGCGCAATTGGCTCTGTGCAAGTTGGCTCTGCACGAGTCTGCTCGGCGCAATGTGCTTTGCACGAACTGCGCCGCACGATTTCTCACGAAAGTGGTCTGCGCAAGCTGCATTGTTCGCAAGGCTGTGCAAGTTGCTCTGCGCAAGTGCTCTGAGCAAGTTGCTCTGCGCAAGTGCTCTGCGCCAGTTGCTCCGTGCAAGCGCTTTGCGCATGTGCTCTGTGCAAGTTGGTCTGTGCAAGTTGCTCTGCGCAAGTGCTTTGTGCAAGTCAGCAAGTGACTCTGCACAAGTTGCTCTGGAAGTAGCTGCCAGCCGGAGCTTCCGCGTACTACGTTTGCCGTTTACTGCCGGAGCTGCGGGAGCACGCTTGTCTGTACTTAAAAGTTGCGATTTTCCAGCCGGAGCTGCGGGAGCGTGCTCCGCGTACTACGTTTGTACTTAAAAGTTGCGATTTTCCAGCCGGAGCTGTACTACGTTTGTACTTAAAAGCTGCGATGTTCAAGCCGGAGCTGCCGCGGACCAGGGGGGAATCGAACCCGCGACCGCGGGATTGCGAAAGCAGGCGCTCAAACCACGAGACAACTTCCAAAGGCCATTTCGCGAGCAAGGTTCGCCGAGACTAAGAAGAATTCGCACCGCGCCACAGCGAGAGCGCTTCGACACGCACGATCTCCGCAGAGGGTTCATCTGGGAATGTCAAAACGCAAAAAACCTCGAATTTTTGCACCTCGACCACGCCGATCCCCGCAGAGGGTCGCGCGCGCACCGACAAAAACGCCAAAAAAAACCTCGAGTTTTTGCACCTCGACCACGCCGATCCCCGCAGAGAGTCGCGCGCGCACCGACAAAAACGCAAAAAAAACCCTCGAGTTTTTGCACCTCGACCACGCCGATCCCCGCAGAGGGTCGCATTCCCGATCGCCGGCAACATCCGCACCCCCCGCCTTAAAAGAGATTCTTAATACCGAGCTCTTTCTCTTTCTTTCCCACACGTTAAGTACTTAACCTAACTTACTTAACCTAGCTTACACAGCTGCTAACGCCGAGCCTCTACACCTAGCTTAGCTTAGCTCTATGCACCTAGCTCTATGCACTTGGCTCTGTGCACCTGGCTCGATGCACTTTGCTCTTTGCACTTGGCTCTGTGCACTTAGCTCTGTGCACTTGGCTCCTTGCACCTCGCTCTTTGCACTTCACTCTGAGCACTTGGCTCTATGCGCTTGGCTCTTTGCACTTGGCTCTGCGCAAGTACCTCTATGCTGATGACTCCATGCTGGTGACTCTGTGCAAGTATCTCCATGCTGGTGACTCTGTGCAAGCTACTCTGCGCAAGTTGACCAAGAGCTCCGCACGGAAGAACCCTTCGCAATGCTTTCGGGAAAAAACCAGTAGTGATAGATTCCCTTTAAAACCAACAGAGAAAAACATAAATGTATTCTTAGGCAAATGGAAGTGCTAACCCCAGATTAAGCGGAACCCCTGGTTGATTTTTATGCCCTTTCAGTGGGGATTCATCACTTTTGGAGGGAACCGGAGGGAACACCCCCCTAATAATGGGACGGGTTTATAAATCCTGGGTCAACATTAGGGAATGAGCGAGTCCGGGTTTGGGGAATAAACCGGTTTTGGGAGTTCCCTGAAAGCAAACCATAGGGGATGGCTTTTCTTGGGATCATTCCAATTCTCATTCCCAGCTGGGTTCTCAGCAAGACAATCAAGACCTGGAACTCAAATGGTCTACCCAAACCAATACGAATCGTAAGGACGGATGTCCGCACCAATTTGTCTGGTTGGGGCTGTCCCTTCATTTACCTGTGTTTCGAGGACGTGGCTTACATGTGAACCATGAGCATGGCATCGATGGTTTCGGGAGTCCCCTGGTATTTGGCGTCGGTATTCTTGTTCCTCTCCCAGTCCCATGTCCCAAAATAAACCAAAGGCTGGTTTGACAGTGCCGTACATGCGGCTTTTGGCACCTGTCTTGAGCAGATCTCGCGTTCCGCGGGTCCCCAGCTTCTCTGCTTTTGCAGCCACGGCCCAAAATCCCCTTGGTACGGTAACCAAAACGCAGTGCTTGGGACCCGGATGCCGGAAGGGCAATTCCATGAACTTGGTTGACGTTGGAAGGGGAGCCAAAATTCTCAAATGTTAGCAGTTAAGTGGTTGGATTTCAACCACTAAACCACCATAAGCAAAAATGTTTCAAATGTTTCTCAACAACAACCATGTGAAGATCACCCTTGTGATGCCAAGTTGTCGTTCCACTGATCACTTGGGGGATTCCCCAGGCTCACGGAAAGTGGCAGGCATCCTCAAGCCTCAAATCCGATTTCCCGCATGGGGAATTCTCATGCTGTAAGGCTGCCCTAATACACCCCTGTTGATCTGTTAATAGGCGGGGGTGGTCCCCTGCAAAAGTGGTGAATCCCCACCAAAACCCAGTTGGACACCCCCATATGAATAAACAGGGGTCTATGAATCTGGTTGCGAGCAGCAGCCTCTTGGGTGGAAAGGTTCCGGAAACCCGAGGTTCGCGTGAGGACTGGGAGAGAAACCAACCACTGGGGGGGGGTCCTCATTTGGAGTCAGACCCATGTGTCAAAGTCAAAGACCCGTCTCAGTTCTGCTCCTCTTTTCCGACAAAGCGGCTCTGGATCTGCGAAAACCGAAGGAACTCGCACGAACAGAGTTCTGGGGCCTCTTTCTCAAAGGGATTGACTTGTCTCCCCAATTGCTGGAGACCCTTGGGCCATTGGAGCTCCCATTTTGGGTCCCATTTTGGGTCCAGGCGTTCAGACCCCCAAGCTGGAAGATCGGCTTCCGGAATCCCTACTAAACCGGTGAGGACCCAAAAGCCGCCCGGCTCCAGGTCAATCCGAGCAAAGGGATCTGGAGTTTATCTGGTGGAACCCACTCAAACTCCAACAGATTGCCCAATTCCGGCTGTAAGAGCCCAACCCACGTGAGCGGAAAACCAAAAACAACCCCAAAAAACAGTCCAAACTTGTTCTCCTTCCAACCAACATGGAAGCATACAGGCTCCCTTTCAAAGAGGAAAGCTGTCTTTCACACTGGGTCTTGCAGCTTCCATGTTGGGTTGCTGCTCTTTACCACTCAAAACGGTTCTCGCACAAAGTCTCAAGTCCGGACCCCAACCAATTGGGGGTTCCCCCAACCATGGGCAGCTTTTCGACCATCTCTGGCGGTTGACATATCTTAAATATGTTCAGCGGCTTTCCAACCAAGCATCCCATGTACGGACCTTTTGGATCAACCCAGCCAAGAACCTTCGCTAACCGGAACCCGAACCGGAAGCCGGTGCTCACTGAAGCTCCCCCAATTGGTCACCGTAAACCTACCCCTTAAAACTCCAAGCCCTGGGGAAGTTAATCTTTTACAGACATATAGCCCATTTTACCCATAAAGTTGAAAAGTTCTGTTTTTAAGAGGTAAGTAAATGGAACCAAATCTTTTCAAGGGACCGGTCCCTTCGGGAGCTTCCATGGAATCGGGGGATCCAAACATGCACCTCTTTCACAGTCCGGCATCTACAAAGGCCACGACTTGAATCCAGCACGAGAACCGTTACAACCAATTTACAACCATCATTTCCGAATCGCAACTGTAGAACCTTATATCATTTCCGGACCTTTATCAAGGGTGAGCGCCTATGTGAGCTCGCTTTACTTTGAGGAATCGATCCCTCGAATTTTGGAGCAAGCTCCATGAAAAAAATGACGGGACTCCCTCTTTGGGTTCCAGGTTAGTTTCTCAGGGATCCTTACATTATACACCTGAACATTGCAACCTGTCAATGGTGGTGTCCCCCTTATTTTGGCGGAAAAAGCCATGTTTCAAATGGGCAAAATGTATCTTTTAAGGAGCCCTGTTTCTGCAGGGGGTAATTTGCGCAGATGCCATAGCCCACCGCCAATCCTCGGCATCATAGAAGGAGCAATGGAAGATGTGGATGCGAAGTTGCCTGTTGAGCAGCGGAGAATCAAACCCGAGATGACGTTTGGTTCCAACATATTTTAAAAGGTTTATAGCAGTGCGCGTGTTTGACGGTATCCTTTTTGGGGTTCAGTGTTCAAGGGAGACCAAAAGGAAACCAGCCATTTTGAGGGGTCCATGTTTGGAGACTCCCGGGCATAGGCCATACTATAACCTTTTGAATCGCCAACGGGAATCGGTTTTGGGCACTGCTCAGTTGGAGAAAGCCCACAAATGGACTCGCAGAAGTTCGAGAATTGCAGCATGAGCCACAATGGTTGATAGAGCTGCTTGTCTTTGCAAACAGTTTCGACGGTACTGTGCAACAAAAGGTTCCGATATGGTGCATGGTACGCTAGCATATTATGTCAGCAGCGGCAATGCCCATGGTGTTGCAGTCACCAATTCTTGTCAAGGTCTGGTATAAAGCTGGCTGTGGCAAGCCGCATCAGCATGTTCAGCTTGTGCCATGTGACTTCACATCACACAGACATGAACACATGCAAACTACACGACGTATATCATATACACACACGCAAACACATGCACACTTGCACTACTACACACATACCGCAGACATACACACATGCGCACGCCCACATACACTCATAGACCCACACACACCGAGGGACAAGACATGTCCTTGCAATGCCAAGTCCTCTGTTGAAACAAGACCGGGCACTGGCCCGGCACTTCGCCGACGCAATGCAACACTGCCGCAGCCGATGTCACGTTGTACTGGGAAAGAAAACACACAAAGCAAGAAATACCCGCCCTCCATCGCCCTCCTTTCGGTACTTGTTGAAACAAGTGTGATTGATTAAGCACCCAAAGGATGCCAAGACAATCCGTGATCTTGAGCTGGTGTGGAAAGCTCTCGCATGGAATCCTTGGACCATCCGCGCATACCCAAAACAGAAACTTCGCGCTCCCTCGATCCCTCTCAAAACTAGGAAGTTGATTTCACTCCCTCCACAATCCATCACATTGCCCGATATCACCACTAGGTCCTCCGGCAGAGAGGTTAGAATAAGGGTACCCTTTTTTTTCTGTAGTCTATTTTAGTAGGGGAACCCTCCCCCAAAAAAGGGGTGAGAAAGGGCACTACTGGGGGACCTAGACCAGCCACCTGTCGGAAACCAACTTTTCGAAACCGATCCCTATCAAACTGCAGAACCGATGCCCTGGCAGTTGTTGACCCCGGAATAACAAACCCCGGTTAATTAATAGGGGGGTGTCCAACTGGGTTTAGTGGGGAGTCAGATCACTTTTGGAGAAAACCCCATATTCATAAACATGGGTTGATTCATCTGGGGTTAACATTACACAAGAAGATTGAACTTTGCTTTGCCAATCCACTCAGCAAGAGAAAGATGTTACCGTCTTGTTTGTTCCTTACATTAATTAATCTGGGGTTGACATTAGTTGTCTGTTGCTCATATCTTGCATCCCTCAGCTCGAGGGTTGCGGTTGGGCGTATCAAGCGAACAAAGAAGCCTTGACAGACATGCCTGACGAAACATAATGTGTTGCACGAAGTATTCGAAACGGCTGGCAACCGAACTGGCAGCAGCAACAGCACTCCCAGTTGCTGTGTTGCTTTGTTGCTGTGCTATATATGTTTGCTGTACGTGTGGCAAACAATAAGACATGGCCTGATTCGGGCTATGGCACACGTCAACAGCGATAACGTATTCCCAGTCCCGATTCAACTTATCAAAGCTCAGAGTTTTCCATGGAAGCGCAAACCAAAGAAAGGCACTCATACTGGCACATGCACATAGTATGTATAGACATATGCGTACCAAACACTGGATCATGTGTGACACCTAATCAGCGGTGAACTCCCAGGGTTACCATGCAAACAATAATTCCCAAGGCGGCGTGTTTTTCCCCATGGCAACAGTCCTCTGATGAAAATCCCCTTGACCTTTTGGGGAAAGAAAAGACCTTGGGCCCTTCCAATTGCCAGGCCAACCTGGAGATTTTTCTCTTCGCCAAAGTCCCTCGCCCTCCAATTGCCCCGGAGTTTCTCGTGTCTCCGGCCAAGCCACCGCTCCGAGTCCGTAAATTGGATCCTGGACTCGACGACCCGACTCGCTCGCACGCCGAGCGTTCGCCGAGGGTTCGGGTCTACGGGGAAGGAGGAAAAGGGAAAACCCACAGGGACCACATGCAAGGCTAGGTCCTCCAGTAGAGAGGTTCGAATAAGATGGTACCAACATTCTTTCTGTTTTGTCTATTTCAGTAGGGGAACTCAAAAACCCCTCAAAAAAATGTAAAAGGACACTGCTGGGGGACCTAGAAGGCTTACAAGAACGTGGCCCGAAAGAACTAGCCCTAAAAACCTGACCTCGATCACTTGGTGGTCTTTTTTAGGGGAACCCCAAAATGGTGTTGTTTTCCCTTTTGGTGTCCCTTGAAAACAACCAACAAAGGCTTCCCTCGAGAAAGGCAGATTTATCTCCTTTCGCGAATGGTTTCTCCATCATTTCGGAGACCTGCTGGGAAATGGTTCCCAAGAACCATGAACCATGTGTACAACATTGCTTGCAACCTTTCCATTGAAATGAACGGCCTCCCTTACAAGGGGGTTCTACACAAACATGGGGAGGCTGATTCAGTGGAAAAGGCAAAGCATGGTGTAGAACCTCCTGAAAAGAAATAGTCCAACAGGGTGCGCTTCGCTTGCTTTGAATGGGTCGTAAAAGGGTCCAAAAGAAATGCATCTATTTGAACAAGGCTAACATGCAGCCATGTACAAATTCCTGCATCATGTTCTATTCCCTGATGGAACGCTAGGAACAACTGTTCAATGAGGATAGCGTTTGAGGCTCGGTACCCTTCTTTGGTCGCATTTTTGAGGGAGACAAACATTCTGAGGGGTCCGTCCGAATCCCTACTAGGTCCTCCAGTAGAGAGGTTCGAATAAGGGTACCCTTTTTTCTGTAGTCGATTCCAGTCGGGAACCCTCCCTCAAAAAAGTTGGTAAAAGGGCACTACTGGAGGACCTAGCCTATTTCGACACACACGCACAATGGTCTCTCTCGGGAAGGATCACAAGTCAGCCAGCCCGTTACGAAATCCAGGCAATCACCATCTCTTCCGGTTGAAATTCCCCAAAGAGCACTCATCCCCAAAAAGTCACCTTGACACTCAAATTACCCTGAAACGTGTGTGATATTGCCCTACACATATGGGATGAATTCCTGTTTTCAGGATAGTTAGAGGGTCCAGGCACTAAAAATGGGCAACCGTTTAAGGGGAACGGTGTTTGGGTTTCTTCGGAGGCTCTCCCATAGACAAGCCCAAGACATCATCAATCAGCGAGCCATGGACAACGTGCACGAGTGGTTTGATTACAAGGACAACTCCAGGATTCATCAAATCAAACCCGCAAAATGGTTTCACCCAGGATCCTTCTGCCAACCCCGGGAAACTTCGACTGAGAAATGATGCGGATGGAATCGCAAGTTTGGGATGCTGCCTATTTGCAAGTACCAGTTAAGATCCTGCCCACTAGATGAATGTTGACAACTGCATTATTCAGAATGCCTGAACACTTGATCAACGCTAGCAGCACGCATAATCCTAAATTTAAGACTTGCGAAACCAGCCAACCATTGGAAAATGCGGTTTTATTTTTTTTGTGAGATGTAGAGCAAGCAACAGAGCAAGAAAATAGTGATCCCAAGTTTCGGGTGGGGAAAAAAAGCAAGGAAAAAGTGATTTTAGAGCAAACAGTGGGCACTAAAAAGGCAAGAATGCAGCAAACAAGAGACCAGAAATACCAAGAAAATAGCAAGACAATTGTGAAACAAAAAGCAAGAAAATTGTGATCAACCCTCGAAACCAGCAAATCTGCAAATCACAGCGGGAGATCACTATTTTCTTGCTTTTTTGGAGTGGGAAATCCATATTTTCTTGTTTTTTTTGGAGGCGACGACCCTCGAAACCCGGAAATCTGCAAATCACAGCGGGAGATCACTATTTTCTTGCTTTTTTGGAGTGGGAAATCCATATTTTCTTGTTTTTTTTGGAGGCGACGACCCTCGAAACCCGAAAATCTGCAAATCACAGCGGGAGATCACTATCTTCTTGCATTTTTGGAGTGGGAAATCCATATTTTCTTGTTTTTTTTGGAGGCGACGAAACCGGAAATCTGCAAATCACAACGGGAGATCACTATTTCCCACTCCAAAAATGCAAGAAGATAGTGATCTCCCGCTGTGATTTGCAGATTTTCGGGTTTCGAGGGTCGTCGCCTCCAAAAAAAACAAGAAAATATGGATTTCCCACTCCAAAAAAGCAAGAAAATAGTGATCTCCCGCTGTGATTTGCAGATTTCCGGGTTTCGAGGGTCGTCGCCTCCAAAAAAAACAAGAAAATATGGATTTCCCACTCCAAAAAAGCAAGAAAATAGTGATCTCCCGCTGTGATTTGCAGATTTTCGGGTTTCGAGGGTCATCGCCTGCCCAAAAAGCAAGGAAAAAGTGATTTCCCACTCCAAAAAAGCAAGAAAATAGTGATCTCCCGTTGTGATTTGCAGATTTCCGGTTTCGTCGCCTCCAAAAAAAACAAGAAAATATGGATTTCCCACTCCAAAAAAGCAAGAAAATAGTGATCTCCCGTTGTGATTTGCAGATTTCCGGTTTCGAGGGTCGTCGCTTCCAAAAAAATCAAGAAAATATGGATTTCCCACTCCAAAAAAGCAAGAAAATAGTGATCTCCCGTTGTGATTTGCAGATTTTCGTGTTTCGAGGGTCGTCGCCTCCAAAAAAAACAAGAAAATAGTGATTTCCCACTCCAAAAATGCAAGAAAATAGTGATCTCCCGTTGTGATTTGCAGATTTCGGGTTTTGAGGGTTGTCGCCTGCCAAAAAAAAACAAGAAAATAGTGATCTCCCATATAATCCCTATTTGGATCCTTGCTATTTTGAGGTGCCCAAATCACTATTTGATGACCATCTGATCACTATTTTCTTGCTTTTTTGTGTCAACTGTTGCAAGTGAATCACTTTTTTCTTGCTTTTCAGTTTGCTCTTAATTTTCAGATTGCTATTTTCTTGCTCCAACCCTCACTCCCAAATCACAAAATAAATTATTTTAACCTCCCTCAACGGTTGGCTGGACGAAAACTCTTAATCCTAAATTAAGCAGCTTGTCAGGTTGAATTCATGGAGCAAGGACACTAATCACTCATCCTGTTCTGACTCTCGTCAATGGCCTAACCCACTGCATAGTGATTTCTGCAGCAACATTACCCTCGGCTGGAGTCGACAACTCAGCATCCACCCCACATCCAAAGAGGTCACATGTACAGTGGCAATGGGAAGTTCGACGATGGTAAGTTGGAAACACAAATTTTCTTTCTATAGGTACTTCAGTATGTCCGAATCAACAGCGCCAAGCAGCGGTCATTATGGGAAGTGGCCATGGGTCAAAATCCAAATCGTACCCCCAGTTTTCACATCCCAATCCCCACTAAAATAGGTTCTAAAATGGGTGGTAAATTCACCCACCAGCCAAAAATGTGATCAAAACGGTTTTGACCACCAAGCACGTAGAATTTACTCCAAATGGGTATGGGTCAAAAATAAACCACCAGGAATTGGACTGCGGGTTTTGGTCCATGTTTCCATTTACCAGGGCAACCCATTTTGGGGTTACCCTATTTTTGACCCACAGCCAAATCATTGCATGAACTCCCGGCAAGGGAAGTTGACCAGCCCAATGCCAGCGCAGCCAAGCCGCGGGTAGATGTTCGAAACGCAGCGCCGGAAGCGTCGCTTGATGGTTGCCATGGAGATGTCGAAGCACGGCGGCAATCTCACAAACAAACAAACTAAACATAAACTGCTATCTGTATCACAAACAAACAAAACAGCCATACTTGAACAGATCTCCAACATGACAAAGATGGCTTGGGACATTTCTGTCGAATTTTAGAGGCCCACGGTTGCTATGGCTGTGTGCTCCCATCGAGTGTGTGTGTGTGTGTGTGTGTGGCAGTTGGTGCTTGGTGGCTGTGTGGCTGGTGTAAAGTGGGCGTGGCTCAAAATTAAACAGGAGAGGTTACGCAGGTGTTGGTCCATGTTTCCACTTACCAGGGAGCTGTGGTCGCAGGGTGCCAGTTGTGGAAAGTCCCCACGCAGGGGGCGTTTGGTACCGTGCATGGACACAATCCTGCATCACCTAAGAAACCCTTGAATGATGATTCCCCTGTAAATACCAACAAGCGATGGTTTCTCTTTGACTCAAAGTGGTGCAGGATTTTGTCCATCCACTGTATTTAACTAGGTTTGATTGTGTCCGACATCTCTCGGCACACTCTGTGCATACGGCCGAAACACAGCTTCATGTGCTGCTAGCCAACAAGATGCATGCGACATCTCAACTCAGTCCCCTGCTAAAGGTTTAACTTGTTCCCCTCTAAACCCTAAAAGCCGACAAAAGCCTAGGGGGAAGGCTGGGAACCGCCAAGTTGATTCGTCCTGGATGCACAAGTGATCTCTGTCGAGCTGGTTTTGCTTTGCATCGGCTTCAGCTTCTGCTCAAATAAAACGTGGCCGTCTGGCGGCCGCTGGCAGTCATTTGAGGCGTGCGAGGAAGATCCTTCAGGTTCACATGTGTGTGTGTGTGTGTTTAGCCATGAATCTAGGAGCACTGCCGCCACTGCGCTAATGGCTAAGGTTCGTGCCTGTACCACTCTGGGCCCTCCAATAAAACCCAATCTTGACCCCAAACAAACAAAGTCGGGACCCTTGGGCTGCAGCAACAACCGGACACAAGGATCGTGGATGGGGGGGGGGTTGGGCCAAGCTTAGAGTGGGTGCCTCAAACGCTTTACAGTAGTATTGGCTTGCAGTCGGTCTGGACATATGAAAACGTTCAATCACGGGCCACAAGGATCACAAGGGTTAGCTTGGCCCATGCGCCGCTGGAGGAGCATTCCAAAGGGCCCAAAGCTTTTTGCGTTTTGTGGCTCCTGTACGCAGTACTACCCACCGCTATAGGTTAACAGGGGAAACCAACATGTACCTCGAGGTAGGGATCCCTGGTAACAATAGAGGCAACCGGAAGCACTGAGGCGATAGCGCGGAAGAATCCCATCGCAAGCGATGCAACAACCCATCCGTGCGCAAAGTGACCATGGCTCAGAGCTACAGACCGGGTCCCTGTTCCGATCCTTTGCTCAAAGAGTTCACCAAACCAACTACAAATCTAAAAATCGGAACCGGATGGCAAAGCACCAGGAAGGTATTCGCAATGTGCCATCCCTGGCTTCATAGTGAGTGGATCGTTTTTTCCCGGACCGGGTCTGTTTTCTCTGATCCTTTGCTCAAAAAATGGAGACCCGAACTCATGGTGTCCCTTTCTACACCCTCCCCACCTGCAGAATCGAAGCCTCACCCAGGCCCCCGGAACCCTCCGAAAGGAAAGCACCTCCTCCTATGAAAAAATCGGTCGGAGGAAAAAAACAACTCCGAGCCGCCGGGAAGGGGGCCGGTTTTCTGGGGACTTCTTAGTAAGAGGGGTCTTTTTGAGGGTTGGAAACCCCACCAGAAGGGAGCCCAGCATTTTGAGAAACACGAGAATTTCTGCATTTCCTGAAATGGCTTAGACAAATTGACTTTGAGAAATTGAATCCAAAGCCAGGGACCGCTGCTGGTCCATGTTCGGAATAGCGGGGAACCCACACCAACACGACCCACGCCATTTAAAAGGATCCAAATAGATTTAACACGGCTAGCCACATTCTGAGTATCCTGAAATGTGGCGATGTTCCTTTTGGCTCCCCTGGCTCCCCTGCAACCCACCTGGGGCGGTCTAACTTGGACATTTCAAAGCAACAAGTCCTGACGGATTCGCTTCGCCCAGAAAGATCGAAGTGGAGCCCGCAAGGCCAAGGCAATCCCCTAATATATGGGCGTGGCTCAAAACGATCGGAGGGGTTACGCAGGTTTTGGTCCATGCTTCCACTTACCAGGGTTCGATTTTGGTACCGGCTTTTTGAGCCACAGCCATATATACACATGACCTTACACAAAGGTCCACAAATACAGTATTTCGTCTTACACATCTGCCAAAAGGACACTTGCCTTAATTTGGCCGGTCAATGAGTCTGCTGAGACGCGATTCCGGCCGGTCGGCATGAGGCGCGCAACAAAAAAGTCCGGCCGGAGTCACGCCCAATGCAACAAACAACATGTCGAGACAAGGCGAACAGAAAAAAAAAAAGAAGAAAAAAAAACGTTTGCCCAACCATGCTAGAACCACTCCCCCCCCGCCCCATAATTCATGTTTTTGAATGCACCCGGCAGCATCGCAGGCCGCAGG